CTACCACATGCTGGGTGTCTTTTTGAGATCTTAATGGCCCAATTATCGCAGCCCTCGTACAGATCAATGGAGACCTGCCAGCCTGTGCTCCTCACACAATGGGGGATGGGAAAGGTGTGACAAGATGCACGAAGACCCTTTGAAGAAGGTGACAGGTGCAACCACTTTTTCCAGGATTCTGTCTTTCTCTAAAAGTCGCGGCTGTGACAGGGAGCAGAATGTAAAGTGGCAGCACTGCTCTTTTATACATGAGACACAATGGCTGTATATATGAACTGAATCTCTTTCACTGCAGTTAAATAGCTGTAAATAACTGTATTTCTGGCTGTCAGTGCAGGTACCTGCGAGAGTTTATAAGATCAAAACCTGGTGGAAAGTTATGGATAAACCTGCGACTCTTTATCTCTCCCCGTTGATAAAAAGTTGACGCTGAACGAGTTACACAAGAGTTGCAGGATGATTCATTTAGTCAAGGTCAGCCAAACTATACTGCAGTGTCTGTTTCATTGTTCTTTCAAAAACCTATTAGCGTCTGAATTTTTCTGAATAGATCACTGCTTCACAGGAACGTTTGGTATGTTATGGCATTTCAATGTGTTTGGAAGATATTGTGCCAGGAAACACATTCTTTCTCAGTACTTCAACATCTCTCTGTACCATTGATTTGAGCAGACACAAGTACCTGTGCTGCAAAAAAAAAACTGAAGGATATCATCAGCCAAATCTCCCTCCTCTTCCTCCTCCTTCTTTATTTCAGTGTCAAACCTTGCAGCTAACAGTACACACATGCAAACTACCCAAGCAGATCTTCAAGCTTTCTTTTTGCATCCAAGCTCTTTGTCTGTAGTGAACTTCACAGTCCTGCAGTTAGCACTAGCCTAAGGCTTCAGATGTGCTCTGCACTTAGCTCTGGGAAATCAATAATGTTTGCTGTGAAGCTTGTACCTGAGTGCAGAGAACTGTGGAAGGTGCTTCTCTAGAACTGTGACCACATAGTGAGGACCCCCATTATGGTTTTCCATCTTGTTTGGATTTAGTCCATTAGCCGGTAAGAGAAACTGTAACCTGTGACTGTCATGACTGCATAAGCTCATATCGTATTGTTTTTGAGATCCCTGGATGGCTGATGAGTAAGACTGGAGTTGCTGAAAAGGGTTTTAAGATACCACCACAACCTCCCTCCTCAGTCTTTGTTTAAATAAGAGTAACAGTTTTCTGGAAATAGAAATTCCTCCCTCATGAATGTTTTCCCTGAGGGATTATTGAGCTCCATTTAAACAGAGCTCTTCTGCTCTTTCTCCAAATTTAATGACCTGCTGACTAATGAAGGCTGTCATCACAGCTCGTCACCCATCATGACTCCCATCCACTGGAGACCGACAATTTAACCCTTTTCTCTTCAGTTTTGCATATCTAATAGAGACTGAAAGAAGAGGAATCCACCACACAATAAGAAATAATGTTGTAGGTTCTGGGTAGGTAGCTAGGCCTGGTTGGTTCACCTCTAACAGCCCTAGGCTTTTATTTATTAATTTTTTAATATAACCCCAAAATATACCATGTCCTCTCTCTACATTACATACCACCACTGCTCTTACATAGCACACTGATGACTGGGAGTAAGTAAATTCATAAAAACGTTGCATCATAAAACTTAATCCTCCTGCTCATAAATCTGCCATGAATGTAACACCCCTGGTAATCTTTTCTCTGCAGATGAGCCAATGGACGAATTTAGACCATAAAAATATGACCAGCCCAATAGCCCCACTAAAGTGAAGCCAGAACTTTTAGAGCTCCCCCTGGTGACTGCTTGCAGTATAAGTCTCAAAGTTTCCACCTCTATAACAGACAAAATATGGGTTGGACTATGAGATAAAACTGCAGGCCAGATATATGTTATTTCAAACATGCTTTCTTGTCATCATAGGTAGTTTCTATCATGTTGATTTATGTGCAAATGTTCATTTTCCATTGAAGTTTATCTTTGATCTGTTATTTGATGTTGAAAAGAGGGGATGTGACTTCATGATTGACAGCTCAGCTGACAACAGCGGGCTCCTGCAGCGTTCTCCGCTGGATAAATATAGCAGACGAGGAATGGTGAGAGGAAATATCAAAGAGCAGAGAGTCACAGAGCTTTCCATAGCCATGAGTTTCTGCTTTAAATTAACATAATTATCCTGTCTGCTGTGGACTGAGCTGACTTTTCTGCCTAGAGGTTAAATGTATGTTTCATTTAGTGAAATCTATACTACAGTAGTAAACAGTCAATGATTTAGGCGCAGTAAATAGCACTCAGCTTGGTAGTGACCTCAGCCTAATTCAGTGCTGACTCAAGAGACATCACTGAAGGTGAGTCACATCTGATCTCAAACCGCTAACCAAACTGTTTTTCCAACATTATTCCCATTATCTGCAAAAAAAAGTGTAACTTACAATATCAATGGTGATCAGGGCTTGACATTTGCACCTGCTCACCTGATAAATGCAGGTGGATTTCAGCTGTGGTGTCTAAACACAGTCACTCCCACTAGCCATTTTGACAGGTTGGCATTTATAGTAGTCCTCTAAAAGGGCATTGGAAATTATAAAGTAAACACAGTGTGAAGCTATGACACCACAATCCCCACCAGCACTACCTGTACATAGCTGTTTGCTCATTGGTCCTTTGGTATCATACTGCCTTTTGTTTGCATGCAAGGGACCATGTTAAAGGGATATTCCGGCATAAAATTGAGTTATGGTCAAACACACTTTAACACCAAGTTAGACTCCCCGTCGAGAGATGAATGTTGCTGACTGCTTGATTCTTATACCAACTTTAAGGAAGAACATTTATGATCATTTCTTTATCATGAGGTAATAATCATCATATTAATCATTTTGCACTGCAGACGCGGTAGCTCTTCTGCCTTAGCCTCTCGGTCTGATTGCATTTCCACAAAGAAATGATCATAAATGTTCTTCCTTGAGCTGTGTCACCCTGCTGCAATCAGTGATGGACTCGTCTGAGGTCTCCCTACAAACAAGCAGCTGCTGGAAGAGAGTAGGCGTTAGCCTCTTTGCTAAAGAAATTAAACAAAGCTAAAAAGATGTTTAGTGGCTAGTGCTATGGCTGGGACCCTAGATGTACTGTTGATGAAGTTGGGTGCTGTTCTGAGCATTATTTGTGGCTATAGAGTGGCGTTTTGGTTGAGATTTGTTGCTCCTCAGACTGCTGTGTATTGCTATCGTGCGGTTGTAAAGTGTAAAGTTGGTATAACTTGTGAAGCAAGCAGTCGGCAACATTCATCTCTCGACGGGGTGTCTAACTTGGTGTTACGGTGTGTTTGACCATAACCTAATTTTATGTCGGAATATCCCTTTAAGTGCAAAACAATATGTCCTATACAAGTCTTTCCTATGTGTGGATCACCTGTTGGGGCAACACTGAACATGGTGGAGATATTTGTTTATTTTTGGTCTTTCATACCTGCAAAAACACTTAGGACTGTAAACTAATTCACTGTTATTTAGTATTTATCTACTTTTGTTGTACTGTTGGGTTAAAATGTTTTTTTATATTTTCTAAGTGTATCTTATTCAATTTTTTTTCTTTATATGTTAATAAAATGTTGAACTAATCTCTACTTTCTTTAGTTTTTAGTACAGAAACTGTCAGTTTAGAAAAAATTGTGATACGACAAAATATGTTGTGATCATTTTTTTTTGCCAAATCGTACAGGCCTCGGACTAACCAATAAAAATGAGCCATAGCATTTTAGATCTTCTGTAGTTATGTAGTCTTCACATTCAAAAGGGTGCAGATCTAGTAGAAGTAAATTTTTGAGCACCATAGTCAAATTTTATCATCAAATATTTTTTTTCCCACAATAAAGTTGTAGCTGTTGGAAACGCTCGTGGCTCGTAACCTCGGAAAACAACTAGCTATGGAGGTTGATTGAAAAAAAACATCACCCTGATTGTGATGCTTTGAAAAGTTTCTCAGAGTTCTGACATAGTTGTAATTTCTCATGTTGGTTTGGTTTGGCTGAATTTTTAAAAGCAGTTTTTTCTGTGCAGCAGAACCTCTATCAGGTGCATTATGATGGTGCAGGAATAATTATTCAGAGCGCACAGAGAGCAATGTTCCACATAGCGAGAGCCTTCACAGCCGTTTCATCCACCGCATATCTTTAGGTGTCTTCAGAGCAACAATGAGCACAGTGAAGCGAACAACCAGCTTTGCCCCCAGGCTTTGTCAGAGTCATTCCTCCCATAAGAGGGATGTTAGTGAGTCAAACCTGAGCACAACGTTTCCATTCTCTCAGCAAATACAGAATACTGCAGCTCTCTGGAGGCTCAAACACTACTATTAGACGGCTGATTATAACTACTCCAATTGGATTTGGAGCAAAACATCAATCTGGTTTAGCTTTGTGATGATCTCATCCCCAAACCTCCACCGGGGAACCAGCAGGGTTATTGCTTGAATCTGGAGATTACCACCTACTGTTTTCCTCATTCCCCCTAAATGGAAGGATGTTGCAAATGAAAACATAATAAAAAACATTTTTCATAATTATGTTCAGAATGTTGAGCATTTAGCAACACCCACAGTGACAGTTTGTGTTGCTTGTGGGCTCTAGAGGGGGTCAAGAATGAGGAAAGGAGAGCTAAAAAGGAATAAAGGCATTGCTAAATGTTGCCTGTCCTCAATGCTAATTTGGCCTCTGTGACAGAAGAAAACAATGGGGTGAAAGTAATTTAACTGGCTGTCTTCAGCCAGAGGAGATGAGAAATAATGAGCAAATAGCAACAATAAAAGTGGAATAATACCAGGATTAGCAGTGGCCTCACAGGCTTCTGTCCAGCCTGGTTTGTTATTTACAAGTTGTGCACTCAGAGGCCTGCAGCTGCAGATAATAATATTGTCTTCGGCAGCAAAAGCAATAAGGGTAAGCAGAAAACTTCAGGCACAGCCCACATCACTCTCCCTCTCCCTGGTGGAATATGTGCAGGAAGGAGCGGAGGATCATGGGTAGTCATTAGTGAGCTGGAGGTGATGCTTTTTATTGTTTATTGCTAATTCATCTACTTTTTGTGGAAGCTGTATCCTGATGCGATCCTGTGGGGAGGAATTTAAGTGGAACTCCCCTGAACAGTTTGAAGGTAGAGGAACCTCGTTATTTTCGGCATTACTGACTGAAATATAAAGTTATTGCATCGCCTACATTTAATTTTATCCCAAAATACTGTTTTGAAAAATACCCAAACAAGGCGTACCTCAAAAAAACGTTTGTTCTCGCTTCAAAAACTTCCAATAAGCCTCTGATATCTGATAGTGCATGTTTGCTTCGTCACCCAGTGTTTTATATTTCAGGGAACACTTTAGACCCATCAATCAAGTGTCTGCTTTGTTCTCTGCAGTAATGTACTCACTCACACTCCCCAGACAATGATCTGAAAGTTAGAAAATGTTGAGATAGGCTGTTCCAGTATTTCAGATCTCTACAATTCTTCAAAAGAAGAGCATACACACTTCTTTGGCTGAGTGTGTTGCATTGATTTCTGCTCCCTGAGATGGTTTTTAGCTTCATGTTAGAGTCTGGCACCTTCGCTCTCCAGAAGCCCAAGAGTGTGGTGATTAGGAGCTGCTCTTCTTCTTCTTCTTCTTTGACTGAACTATTGTTAAAGCCCCCTTTGTGTTGGAGTCTGCCTTCATGAGGAGTTCACTGGCTGGCCAGCCCTCAGGGGTCACATGCACCTTGCTGGCTGCTGAGGGGATTGCTTCGGGGCAGAGGGATTGGGGAGAGATCAGAGACAAAGTGAGAGATGCTGGTGGGCTCTCGCAGCTCTGTAGTAAGCAAAATTAGCTTCATGGTGACCTCTTTTTTTTTTTTTAAGCTCCTTTTAATGTGAGGGGCCCTCAAAGGTAGCTTTGATAAGTAGAAACACAGATTTTTATCATAACTGTTCTCTTTTAAAATTATTATCATAATTAGTAGAAGTGGTAGTAGGAGAAGTCGAAGTAGAGTGGGTGGTGTTGAGTTGACTTTCTCCACAGGTCAAAATCTATCATTCCAACAGCAAACAATCACGAGTAGATACAAGTCAAGAGCATCGCAGACTGTGAAGAGAAACTCATCGTTTCAGGAACTGTGATGAAGCTTGTGTTGAGCTACTTTAAAAGACTAAAAAAATTAAGGTCAACGAACCCCAAACAAATTCACCATCTCAGAGCCATGTGTCATTAGTTCTTCTGACAGCCAGAGCCAAAACTTCACCAAGAAAACACACCAACCACACTGAGGTAGTTACTTTTCTAGGTGTAATTTATTCTAGTTAACGGACTCTTATTTTCTCCAGCTTGAGATCATTTGAATCATTTTGTTTAATCAGAAGTAAATGTTTAAAAGAACAGTTTTTTAGTTGGAGTCCTATTTGTTATTGTGCCCGTTCTCTCTAAGGTTACAAATGGTTACTGAGATTGTTTTTTTTTACCACAGTGAAGTGATGTATCACAGTCATTCAGGGTTCATGTACTCGGGTTGTGGCAGAAATTGAACACGTTAGAGGCAGCAGACTTAGTCCTCATGTGCTTGCTTGACCCACACCTCGGGGTATACTTAACTAAAGGTACAGAGTGTCAAAATGGGAAAATTTAGTGACGCCTGATCCCAGACGAAAAAGCTCTGCTCGCTCAACACTTCAGCTGCTCAGACAACTATGGCTCTCAAGGACAAGACGCTCCTGTGACGCATGATAAGTATGAACCTGAGTTTGTCAGGCTTTTACTACAAAAGGATGTCGATTGAAACAAAGTGGTTTGCGCACGACAACAACTCTTTTGTTCTTCTTTGTCTTCCAAGCAGTACCTTTCATACCTTCTCAACCCTCTAGGCCTGGGTATTGAATTTTCTGACTGACTGTTCTCTCTCTCTTTTTTTTTTTTACCATCTCTTATTACCCATTCGTCTTTTGTGTATCCATGCCCACTCTTATTTCTTTCCCTGCCTCAAGCTTGCACTGTCCCACCCTTAACTCTGCACTGTCACTGCCTCAGCCTTCCTCTCTTTCTGCACTGGATTAGAATTTGGTACAATTTGTCTGAAAGGCTTTTTTTCCTTTTGTCTTATTTTATTATTTTATTGTGGTTGTTCAAAAGCAGAACTTTTCCTAGAGTGTGAAGAAAGATTGTAGGTCAAGCCAATTCTGCGTTCATTCTTGATAGTTCAAAAGTACCGCTCAGACCACAGTGGGAGGAAAGATGTTATTTCCTGCCTGACACAGTCGCTGTCCTGAATTGGACCTCAAAATCTTCTTATTTGGTACACTTGCACGCAGAGTTAAGTCGAGCTACAGTTATAGCTAAATTAGGCATCAAACCTGGTTTTGTGAACAAGCACCGTGTAAGAATTGAATTATTGACAGGAGCATGTCCACCTCCGCCACAGCAGATGGCAACATTGTCCCCTTTCAGCTCATTTCTATCAGGTTTTCTACAGAGGTCATCTTACGATTGACCTTTTACATATCAAAACAGTTAGCAAAATGCATTAGCAAGGGGCCAACAGGATGTCCTTCAAACAGTGAGAACACCAACTATAGGATGGGAAAATTTCATCCTTTACGACTTCTTACTCTTTAATTTCTCCATTAATTCTTTGTTGTTCCAGAGAAACTGTAGACTGTAACCAAAGACTGAATTGTCTTAAACTATTTACATAAATCTTACTTTAACACTTTTTATTATAACTGATATGTAAATGTCGAGGAATTTCAACTCTTTTCGCCCAGCTTTGTCATACTCAAACTACTTTATGAAATATTAATGCACTGTAAGTTAGCCCTTTAAATAGTGACTGACTCTGCAATCATGCAACTGCAACTGTCCAGTAATGTAAACACTATTGAGCTGTGTGCCTCGATTATGGTCTGAATCATAAATTTTGGATTTTTGCGTTGGATCAGCATCCCGCTGTATACGAGTCTGTAGAGCAAAGCGCTGTACAATGAAAAGTGATGCAATGAAGCACATCTTAAATGAGTGAAACTCTATCATCAAGGTCGAAACCGTTTTGTTTTGTTTTCTGCCGAGGTTGATTAGGTAAGGCTAATTTTTCCTTGCAAAACTGCCATGGCAACAAATCAACAAGCGAGACCATAAACAAGACTAACACACAGGAGGGTAATATTTCATACTTAGTATTTTTTTGACTATGACGAACAGCAGGGTACATTTATTATTATATATTACCCTGGTATACATTCTGCAAGGTCTTTCATCCCCTTGGGCATCGGTATAACTTCTTCCCTTTATCGCTCCTCCTTTAACAACAATGTAAAGAAATGGTCTTTTTTTATCATAATTCCCATATTTGATTCTGCGCGTCTCAAAAGAACACACTGTTTCTTATCCTTCATCACAACTGACAGACAAAGTAAAAATGCATCGCACTGAAGCAATCCACTCTTGACTGGCTATGGCTCCCATGAGGGAACACACTCCCCACAACAATGAGCTACTTAGACTGCCAGAGGACACGATGCCTGCGCAAAGAAGAGAGATAAAAGACGAGTTAGGTATGGGAAGGATAGAGGGGGGAGGATAGAGGGGCGGAGGGGAGGTGGGAGATGGATTTATCAAACAGATGTGAGACATATTGCGTACCGGGATAAATAAAGATATTGTCAACGGCATCCAAATGCTAAATCAAAGTGCACACAGTGGGAATTACATTGTAATTAAAGAGATGAGCAGTGGTGCGCGAACATTTACGATGACGCTCAAATGGATCACCAGTGGAGTTGAAGTGCAGACAGGTAGATTGTTCAGATGTGATGACTCACTGAGTGGTCAGACATATGAGGAAAACATAGAAGTGGTAAGAGCTGATGCTTAAATTGACAGTAAAGAGCATGAAAAATAATTTCCGATTACTCCGTTTATTCATTGATAAATACTTCCTGCATGTTTTATTTAAAGTAAAAGAACTTATCATGTAGATAAGAGCTGATCATTATCTGTAAAAGGTCTATTTTCTATCTGGGCGGTCTGGCAGCTTTGATTATGCCTTAAACATCAGAAATGGTAAAGTAATAACTTTTTAAAGTTTTAGAAACTTTCTTAACTTCCATTTTTCTTTGACGGCGCCCTAAGTTTTTGCTGTACTGAATTAAAGGAGGAAATATTGCACCCTTAATTACAATACAATAAGAGACAATAGAATATATGATATAACATGGCACAACACTTTGCCATAAGATTTTTGGGATCCTTGAAATGGCCTGTGAATGATACAGATATTTTTCACCTGGGTTGGGCTAACTGGGGTTCCAACTTATTCATGGGTGGCAGGAGTGTGAGCACCCACATATGTTTAGTTTGCATTTATTCACTAATTTTGTTCCTGAAAATTATTTCTACTTTAATTTTGAACATTGAGGAAATATGTTTAAAGACCCTCTCTGATAAAAATCGTGTTTTTCTTGTTTTTTATATGTTCATATGGCATTTTTCTGATGCTACAGGACATATCATGAGAAAACCAAAATTGCTTTTCTGAGTATTTCTTCATTCAAATCGACGTGAATCTCTGGCAGACCCAAACGGCAGGTTCAGATACACTGAGATTTCATACGTAACCAATCCAAGCGCCGCCCCCAGAGCCCTGCTATGTAGGCCACACTCTGCATATAGAGGAGAAAAACAGAGGAACGATCGCGGAACAAGCATGTGTGTTAGCAGATTGCGATGTTTGTAAGCTAATTATGATATCTTTCATCATGTCTCCAAAGACATTAGTGTCCAAGAACTAAATTGGTCCTATCTCACCTGCCACTTCTACCACACCGGCAATGTTAGGCTACAAGATAGCGAAGTGAAGAGGAGTGTGCAGAGCAGCGCTGTCTCCGCCCATGACTCAGTGGCAAATTGCTAATGATCTACTGGAGCTCTGCAGAAGAAAAGCCCTTGAAAATGACACAGGTAACGTGATTTTTGGTAAAAACTTCATAATCACAATCTAAAGACCACTGAGAACCAAGTTGTAAAAAAAAAAAAAAAAAACGATGGGAGTGGAACTTTAAGTTGAAAAATAACAACTTCCAACCTCTGGCAGCTGATCACGGTTAGTGGACAAGGACAAGAATGTTTGATACTTTAAAGTATATTTTCCTGATACACTTCTCTAACCTTACCTTAATGGGACTGACATTAACTTGACTAAAGTGAGTTTTAATTGTCGCATCTGTGTATTCAGTTTAGTTACGGTCATGATTATTTCTTTCAAAGTTAAAATTAAAAGCATTTCATGAAAATCCCCAAAGCAAAATCTTTAGTCATTTCAAGCTGACCATAATGAGATCAGTGGTATGGAAATATTGCAACGAACCAGTGAACTTTAAGTACAGAGAAGATGCAAAGTCAAACATTTTTCAGAGAGACATCAAACTTTATCATTAAATATGACTCTCCACTGAGCCACACAGGGAGACTCTCTCTGCCTGTCTGAACTCAAGATCTATAGTGACCTTGCAAAGGACTAAGCAAGCAGAGAGAATGAATACATTCACACAGTTACACTTCATGTGAGAGGTTGAATCAGCATTTTGTCAGATTATATTGATGTAAATGTTTCATCCTCTCTTTATCATCTTTATCCCCTCCTGACCTCATAATACATCCTCACCACACACAACAATGGCTGCTATCTCCTCAGGCTGTCATGTGACTGAGAATATTTCACCGTGTCTATTGAAGAACTTCAATTACACTGACATTTCAATGACCTTGACAGAGTGAGGTAAAAATCAATAGGTGCCCCCGTTTTTATTTTTTTTCCCCAGTCAATACAGGTCACTCTTCTCTCCTCTCCCAAGGCTCTAATTCTTTGTTTGATAACGGATTACTGAGCTTTATCATCGTGCCGACGAAATAAAAGACACCCATAAAGTGGAGGTACAGATTTATTTATCTCTTCCTGGATAATTTGGTCTATACATCAACCCTTTTGGGCGCCACACACAGGTGCATGTAACAGACATGTTGAGGAGTAGTAGGTATTGTCAAATGTGCAGTAAAGGGACATCTATTGTGTGTTAGTCTTGGCAGCCTCCATGTGGATGAAGCAGTATATCAACAAATAAAAATGCAAACAAAGGCCGCACAGTTTCAGCGTTAAAAATCCCTATAAAGAAATGATCAATACTCTGGCTGATGGTCTTATTTGCGGTTGCGGGGCCATAAAGGTGCATCAGTATAGAACTCCTCATAGGAGCTCTGAGGTTTTATAGTCATTCTCATTTAATGCAGATGCCAGCTTTAATTTGAATTTACTGGAAAATTATAAACAAGGGATTTTTAATTTGAAGGGGTCAATGTGTTATGGTGTGCAGCACAAATGTCTTTATTTTCCACCTCTCTATCAAGCTCTCCATCATGCACACTCAAATATACACAGAAACATGCACACACACAGACATGCTCACACACAACTACGCAGTATTTTTTTTCAGTGCTCATAACTGCTAACTTTAAATTAGGGTGACCATATTCTGAATACCCCAAAAGAGGACACAACTACGCAGGGGCGGAGTCACAGAGTCGGGCATAGTTAATTTTGAGAGTTTTTCGGGTCGGGTTGAGTGTTTTTACGCGCTTCTATTTTAGTATATCCATGCGGCACAAACTCAAAAACCTCCATACAAAACCCTGGAGATTTGAAGGATATACTCCCTCAGACAAGGCCGGACAGCCCCCAAAAAAGAGGACATGTCCAGGTAAAAGAGGACGTATGGTCACCCTTTTTAAATGCTACCAGCCAAACCCTCAGATACTGTATTGCTTGAGACCAAACCGAAGCCGTTTGACTCAGCAGTGAAAACAAGTCAATAAAGATTAAAAGCTACTCCTCTATGATGTGAACTACACCGTATGTCATCTGATATTAGATCCTGTCCAGAACTGTTACTTCTGTTTCTGCTGTTCAGAGGAATTGTCTCAGGAGATTAACATCAGTCCATACATGTATAACTTAAACAGAGGCCTTTGTGTGCTTTCTGCATCATTAGAGGCACAGTAGGAGAAAGCCATTAGGGTTAGGTTTTTGCCTGGTGTACTGAAGTAGAAAGGCTGCGTCTGTTTCTCAAAGGGAGGACACACTGATTGGTTTGAATAAAGTTACACCCAAAATACACCAATAAGTAATGAGAAACTTAATCCAACCTTTCTGTGCTGTTCGCCTCATTTAGAGCCCAGATTTTGTCCTGATTAAAAACCAAGAATTGATTGGATATGCCTCAGTTTGATTGTACCATGTGAATTACACCAGTTAGATAGGGAAATCAGTATAAACAAGGAAAGGAAAAGACCCAACAAAGCAGGCGAAAACAGGCAAAAAGACCCTTGGTGATTGTCAAAAACATGGACACGGTCTCAATGACGTCATTTGTTGATTTCCAAAGTGGCATTGCCAAGCTCAACAATGGCAGTCATCATATTTGCTGACTCCAGCTAACTTCTGACTAACCCAGAGAATAGGAAAAAAAATAGTTGAATCTTTCTCCTCCTTGCAAACAGCTAGCAAAAAAGATGATTACGTTGTGCAAATCTTAAACCCCGTTGTTAAAATGTGCATTTTCATTATGAGATTTACTTAGTTTATGCAGCCGACCTTAAATGGACAATTGAGAAACTGCATATTTTTGCACATTCACACTGGCCTAATTTTTTAACACCGATTGCTGCTGCTTTTGAAAAACACACTGACTGTCACAGGGGATGTCCAGAGGGTGAGAAGGAGTTGGAAAGACTTAGAAAATGAACTGGAACACCAAATACACATGGGGTAATTGGACAAAAGTAGGACTAACAAGGAAGAATCAGAAAGGTGGGAAAAGACACTAAAGCATCGACATACATGAGAAATGAGAAGTGAGAATCACAAACCAAAACATGATTAAAACACAATTCTTATTCACTATTGACCACAAAGCTGCTCAAGGGTATGAAGGATGCCTGGTTATATAGCAGCAGTTTCACCATATCATTTGAGGCACGACCACTTGTTTTCAAAGTATTCCTCACAGTGGAGTGTGAAGTTTTAGGCTAAACTGGTCCAACTGAGTTCAAATTCGGCCAAGAGACTCCAGCGCCATGGAAACAGGCCCCAGTACAGAGCACCCACCATCTTCATCATCACAACAGCAGCAACAATCCAGAAGCAACTGTCTGCCAAACTAAACCGCTTTCATTAAAAAGCAGTGCAAAATATGAAGCTTGGCCCCATTCAGCAGGACGGGTTCCTTCTCTGGCGAACATGTGCCAATATTAGGAGATTTGCATATTCAGACTCATTATCGAAGTCATTACAGAGTCCCCAAGACAAACTAACAACACTGTGACAAAGACTTGCAGCTGCCAGGACTCTGTCCAGTGTTGTTGATGGCCTCACCTCCGAGGAGTTTTACAGTTTTACACTTAATATGCCCACTAACTGTCTGTTCGAGCCAGCAGAACAAAATTGGTCATTTATAGAGATGCCCAAAATGAGCAGAGTGACCTATTTTTCTGACAAATGAACCCTGTGACCTCTTGTTATTGTGCAAAAATTGACAATTTTCCCCAAGTAGCTTTGGAAAAAGTACCTGTAAAAGGTGTCAAGGTTGGAAAAAAGGTTTCTTGTTGGTTAGTTTAAGAGTAAAACTTCTACACACTGTGTCCTATCTTACACCACGAGTTGTTGCAGTTTTTCTTACAGACTCATGGTCATTTATTTTTCATTTTGCAACACAAAATGCCTGTAACCTTTACCATCATGTTTCACTAGATTTATCTTCCTATTGAGACTCTTTTTTTGCAGAAATCACAAAATATTATCTTCAGACTCACTGCTAGAAGAGAATTTTAGTCTTTTATAACACGGTTCAGTCTGACACAATCTTGACAGCAGAAGAGCTTTGACAGTCGCATTGTTGGCTGTTGGATCAGCATCAAACAGACACACTTCATGAGCCACAAGCTGGTAAAACAGTTTTAAAAATTTGGACATTTTGATATCAGTTTGTAGAGACTGAAACAGCTAAGAGAGAGCATCAATGTCATTTTGAGTAAACCAAAGTGAAACTATACTTGTATTGTTTGCATAAATGACAGGTTTGTGAGCAGATGTCCATAATGCTGAAACTTTTGATGTGATGGTTGTTTTGAGCTAGGTTTAACATTTAAAGACTTAAGTTTGAGACTTAGACTCTGATTATATTCAATTCTCACTCTAACGTAACTGGAGACTTTAAGCTTTTAAATTTGCACTATTTGTCATTTTAACAAGCCGCTAAGAGCTTTCCTGAACTTCAGTGGAAGATATTTTTTATTAAATTACATTTTATGAATCTATGTAAATATCAGCCGAGAAGTTTTGCCTCCCTGTTATTAAAGGTTAAAAAAAATGTACACCGGTATATAACATCTGAAAGATGCTTTAATGGAAATTACACAAAAGTGATCGCAGAGGCTGGGGGATAAATTAGTGCTGTTCATTTATGTGAGTACAAACATACTTCAGACCCACATTACAAAAGTCAGTGCGCCATTTTGGCCACTCCAGACAAAAGAAAAATCTATTTTAATCTCAATGCAAAGGTGGGTATAGACATAATATGATGGTGTCAAATAAATGGGGTTGCATATTTTCAACCATCAGGAACCACGCTTTTATGACTGTACCATCATCATTTTTTTATTAAAACTGTGAGCGGCTTGGATAGGACTTGGCATGACCTTCAAAAACTTAAAATTTGACTGTACTGGACCGGAAAAATGTCTTTCTCCCAACTCTACAGTGTCTATTTGCGTAGAAATGGGCAAATTGTTCATTTGGGTTAAATTCCATCTTTCACTCTATAAAACTGTGTCAAAAGTTAGCGGATGAAAGCAAACTTGTACAAGAAATGATAACTTCATTTATTAAAGCTATGTGGTCTGAAAGAGAGAAAGTTTAAAATGCATGTCTCTTTTTCAGAAAAAGCTGCCAGGAGTAGGTGTGAGAAAAAGTGATCAACTCTGCACTACCAAAACAGTGTTATCTTTATAGCATGAAATTCTGGATGAGAGATTCATGTAATAGTTGAAATAAGCAGGATGAGAATTTAAATTGACCAGCAAAAGAGTTAAGTAACACCACTTCACTGCTTTGTCCACAGGGGGCGCCAAAATCAACACACTCTAAAACTTCCTCACAGGAACAACAAGTAATATTTCAGTTATAGTCTTATCCAACTTGCGTATATTTATCACATACAAAACATAATAATACATTGTTAGTTCATGAAAGGTGAAAATGTATTAATAGTCAGGCTCATTATTGCTGTAATTATCATATCACAGTTGTCATCTACCCTGGTGTAGGTAGAATGCTTCATTCTCAGTTAATTAGCACACATTATTTTGGATACCTGACACCAGGGAATACAGGTCATACTCTAACTTTTTGTCTATGAAGTTTACCATTTGAATCTCCTCTCTCGCTGCTCTAATTCAACAAAGATGTAAAGTACTTTGGGTTGTTTGTTTCCTTGTTAGTTATGTTTGTATATTTTTGTAAGCCATTACAGTAGTTCACACACAAAAGATTCTGCTTAGTCTAAATTTCATGGGACACTGCTGTTGACTTCCTGTTTAGTATTCATCCATCTGAGGCTCCTTTCATTTGAATACTAGGTGCCAAGTGCAGTTCCCCTGTTCATGAATAACTCATCTTTTACCCAGGGGTTTTTGTCTAATCTTAGACATTTAAAGGGAATGCAGAGATACAAATGGAATATGTGGGTTTAGTTTAATTTATATGAGCAGACTTGTTCGTTCTTCTTAACAGTTTCAAGGCCAAATTAATATTACAGACTTAAATGGGAACCTTCCTCCTTTAATGCAGAACTGAAACAAGACCGCCTAAACCTTTTCTTTACATAAGCAGGGGTGGACTTCATTATAAAGTCAAGTAGGCAACTGCCGGGGGGTCTTGATTTAGGATATTAATTAAATGTTGGATAAAACATATTCTTGTTTTCATTATCTGCTTGGATTATTTTCTCTACTTTTCTTTTCCTCTCTGACTGTACAACATCCGAACATTTGACTGAGTTTAAAGTTCACCTGAATCAAACCAAGAATCTCAGACAGTGCTTCAATAGGTTATTCCAGTAAAGCCACTTGGAAAAATGTTCCCTCACAAAATTTGTGAAATCCTTTTACCACCCGAGATACAGCCAAATACTTTGATATATGCGACTATCCCTTAAGTGTTGGTCAGCCAAGGGGATACCCAAAAAACTGCAGCTTTGCAAGTGTCCACACTTAAAGCTGCCTCCACAAACCAAGGAATCCCCATTAGGATTAGTATCAAATGTCCATTTTTAAACCAGAATTAAACATGTTTACAGCCTCGATCAATAAATGGTTTCAGTCTTAAGAACTAGTAAATATGCTTAAAACTCACCATTTGGAATATATCACAGCAAAATCATGCATATCAATCATAATGCTAGATGAGGCTGATTTGTCTGAAAGGTGAATATTGTAGCTGTTGACCAGGTGCTAGAGGCCCACCTAAACTCCACCTCTTTCCCTGTTTTACATCAAGCCAAGATGGAAACATCATTTCAAATATGGCCTCCTCTACCTTTGGGAATCATAATAACTCTTCAGAGACCAATGCAGAATGCTTTTGACACTTTCTGTAGTTACCATGAGTGAAGCTGCGCAAACAATGCAGAACCATTCAATATGAAATATGGCCTTAATATTATCACATTTTCACCCCATGGTAATGGTGGAAAAAAACAAACAAAATTCAGCAGCATATCTGAGGTAAACTTGGAAAAAGGAGCACAATCAGTTAAATTAAGTGAAGCGACGCGATACTTCACAAAGTTCACCAATGAGCACAACTCACCAACTTCTGTGTTTTGTGTCACTATCCTCATGACAGAAACTCCTTCATAGAGTTTCCATCCATCATTCCTTCTCTCACACATACAAACACATCTACAGGCAATTCAGAGGGACCAATTAACCTGCCAAGTATGTGAGAGAGATCGCCCCGTACAATGATTGACTGTGATGCTTTTATTTTGACATCTTTACTGTCTTGTTTAGGGAAATGTTCAGTGTATCAGCACACATGTAGAGACATAAACTCTGGTTTTGGAGACATAATAAATCTTTGATCGTCTCTTTCAGGCGTGGCTGACAGTGTTTACACAGGCTGCTACTGCTTCTTTGTTTTCACTTCATTTTATGATGGGTGGCAACCATCGTAAAGAGCCACCACCATCCACCACTGTGAACTAATCGATTACATGATATTACAGGATGCCTGTTTATACTGCAGTATCACTTTGCTTAGAGATGCACTGATCAATTTTTTCCCAATCCTATCCGATACCGATACCTGGGCTGAGTGATACCGATCCAATACTACTGTTAAATGAATGAACTGTATACCTTACCCTGTGAGTGAAGGCATCGGGCTTGACATTAGCCTTGTTAAAAAAAAAGGTAACAAATTAACACAGATTGTTACGGCTGTGTGTTTGTTTTGCGTGTGTTTTTCCCCTTTTGTCTCTCCATAGCTGCCCAGGTGAAATCACTTGAGTGCCGATCAGACTCAACTGGCGCTGAGAGTCTAAAAGCCCAGAGCTGCCTGCAGTCTGGAGAGGCATTTGGTGGGGAACTGCTGCCCTGCTGCCTCTCAATAGTGTTGTGGGTGCTTTGTGTTTAGTTCGAAATTTTGTTATTTTGTCACATTAAATCACGTGTTAAACTTTTGAAGGTGTCCATGTAGATTCTCATTCATCCAGGTCATGGTTATCTTGAAGACTTAAAAAAAAGGCAACTGGACTGTGTAGAGTTAAGAAGACGTTTCGCCTCTTATCCAAGAAGCTTCTTCAGTTCTAAAAGTGCTAGTGTCAGGAGCAGATATTTATCTTACTGGAGAAGGGGGACAGTAACGACTGGGAGGAGTTGAAAAGAATGGGTCGTAGAAACCCATCTCTCGGAGTGTCCCCCCTAAGTCGTTATCCTGAAAGGGTCGTTAGCGACTCCTATCATGTGACCACATGACTCATGCCACCTGAGTCATGTGGTTCCTGGTGTGAATGTTTGTGGAGCTTTCTGGGGAGAGAGCTGAGAACTGCATTGTAAGTGCCAGAGAGATTGTGCCTGAGTCCACCCCCTCTGTTCAGAGAAGGTTTCTCCAGCCTGGTAAAGATGGCTTCTTTAACTCCTCTTTTGAAGGTGTTTTGTTAATTTAATGGGTCAAAAGGTGAGGATGGTTGTTAGTCCCATAGGGCCGCCTTGGGGTGGGGCGTAACAAATGGGGGCTCATCCGTCAGTCATAACACACCAAACGATTTACTTAATATTATTTATTAACAAAAATCAAATTGCACATCAGCACACAGCAAAAAGTAGTAAGACTTCAATGTATTAAAAGAAAAAATAATTAAGAGAAAAAAAAAGACTGGATTGGAACGCTGGATTGGCGTCATTCATCCCATATCCAATCCAAATATATGATTGGTGCATCCCTAATTTTGCTTTGTTTAAAAAGGCAGTTATCATCAATAATGGTTAATTGTGACAGCGCTAATTGGAACATCTCATAAGACCTTTAAAAACACATGTTGCAAATTTTGAGGCAGTAGGAGTTTAGTCTGTAGAGAGTTGGGCTCTGAGGGTTGCCGACACAAGTCTCTGCACAGTCAAGTCTCTGGAAATTGCACTGGTGAGACAACATTGGTTACCGTGAGCATCTGAGAGACAAATGGCTGAAAAAAACATTTGGTCAAATTTTCATTCTCAGTAGTTTAAAGTCTTGTTTCTGCTCAGCCGACAATCCCAACCTTATCCCGGTACAGACTTTCCTCATCTTCTAAACTTCTGCAGCACATTTAACCAAATAAAGAGCAAAAGGGTGCAGAAACGACACAATACAGCAGCTGAAATAAAAAAAAACAGTACTTCTAAAACACTAAAGTAAAATCTAGAAACGCTTAAAGCTATATAGGAGAAATGTATGCCAGTGAACAGATAATTAAACATCAGCACATGAATCCTTTGCAGTAATCTCTTAAAGACAAAAATACTAAATAAGATATGGCGAGAAAGAGGCATGTGAGAGGCCCTGAGGTTCGCCTGAGGCTGTCAGGCTGATCAGTTCAGCATTGATTTCGGACAGATCTCATACAGCACCAGAACTTTCTTTGAGAGGAACTCGTAAACTCGTTCATGCTGTTAAAGTGGAATAAAATGTACTCATATGAGTTGGAAACCATCCAAGAGTGATTCATCATAAAGAGAGCATTTAGTCACTAAAAGTGTATTTAGACTCCGACTGTGATGTACTGCAGCCCTGTTTGAAGGACTATAATGAAGCTTTTTCAAGAACAGTGCATTCAAGGATGCGTTAGTAGAAATGTTTTACATGATAACAAGTCGAGAGAAGAATCAGTGAGGACACAATGATATTCATCTGTCCTGATATTCACATGGATCTACAGCCTCCACTGTACTGAAGATGAAACCCTCAAAGTCTCTCAAAAAGAGGTTTTGAAATTATCAAACTGTTTCAAAATTAACATATCTCACTTTTCAGTTTCAACATTTGATATAATGGATTTATGCTATTATGGTTAAATAAAGGCTCTAAATGGTTTTCAAACAAATTTTTAAAAATAAATAACACTTTCAAAAGACCTTTTTATTTTTTGGTTTCCTTGGTTCTGTTCTGTCATAATGTGGCACAAAATTTTACTTTTAGTCCATTTTAACAACTCATAAACTTCTTATTTTATCTATTTATTTATTCAGGGTCAGTTTTGTTGCTCATCTTCCTGCATTTTATTTTCCTCTTTAAGCATTTTATATCTTATTTTCTCATTATTACCCTTTTTTTTTTGCTCTTCAACATTAATTCTACCTCCATCACTGCCTCATCTGGCTCCTGTCCTTGTTTTGTGTTGTTTTCAAACTGCTCTTTATTGATTGGGGGAGGGTTTTTTCTTCCTGTGTTTGCTGTGATCACTGTGACTTTGCACCCAATTTATCCGTCAAGTTTCACAGCTGTGGGAACTCCTGTTTTTACACATTTCTACAGAGGAAAGGAGTGTTTTTTTGCAGGTCGGCTTCGGTTGATTTGATTTCTTGCTAAAAACCGAGGTCTGCCCAGATGTTAGAAAATCAACCTGTAACTTGTTGTTAGCTTGCAGCTTTTCTGGGAAGATAGACAGTAACAGTGTAGAGTGTTTCTTTTTTTTCACTGTAAAAGAGCTCAGATAATCCAGTGCCAGCTTTAAGATCCTGTTAGATGCTTTATCACAGGAATTACCCGCCACCACACCTGAAAGAGAGCAGGCTTGTTCTTTGCCCCTGTTGACTGAGAGCTTACCTGCCGTCACCACAGTGGTCTCCTCTCTCTGTGCCCATCTGTGCTCTCCCCGCTTTCTCTCTTAGGTTAGGCAGCAGATATCCATGCATCAGAGACTCCTCTGAGGCGCCTCATGGCTTCGAGTCTTCCAAACGGGTGCAGCTGTCCTGGCAGGATGCCGCAGAGTTAAGCTCTGATCTGGCAACACAAGAGGCCCTCTCTCTCTCTTTCTGCTGTGGCTTCTTTAGGTTTCTGCTCACATGACTCCACACACTGCCGCTCACTGTCCACAGGGAAACTCAGCCTGAAAGATTCAGGAGATGCCGGGTACTGAATCAGTTTAGAGAGTGTCACGTAACCGTACCAGGAGATAAGAAGGCACGTATGTCACTTAACATGTGAACTTCTTATAATATCATCTCCATTATATATGAAAGCCTATTTTACAGAATAAAATCCATATTTATTACAAGTAGAGGGACAGCTCTACAGTTGAAGAATGAGGCCAGGCTAATAGGAGGCAGAAAAGTGTGAGTACATGTGCCAGGGGCATCCCTTATGTCGTTGTTTTTGTTAATCTTGTTGCTGTACAGACGTCTGCGTCATCTACGCCACTTCGGTGTTCCTGTTTGTGCACTAGAAAGACTCTGATTCTGTTCTGTTCAGCTTGAGTCTCCGGAAATTTCCAGTTAAGACATCTCCTACAAGTATCACATCGATTCCTTAGTGGAACATTACGTACAAGTTCCCTGATCTATTATCATTCAGGTGACTGGAAATACTTCCTCCACAGGCTCAAAGTTCTCAAAGCTTTCACAGTCTGAGGTGAAATAACCTCTTACTGAATTCTTTTCTCTCACTCTTGTTCCAGTTTTAAAGTATTGCTGTTTGATCATCTCTGCAGGTATTATCAAAGGTGTAAATGAATGTCGAAGCAGATGTTGCATCAGGCTTTTTAAATCTCTAACATACCTGCGTCTACTTAAAGATAAATCCGGCAGCTGAACTGACTTTACGTGTTTGTTTGGCAGCTTTTTTTGTTTTGTTTTCATCTTAAAAAAGAAAGTTAGCTTATCTCAACACAAAGATGAAGATTGAAATCATTAGATTATCCTCTTTTTAAAGAAATCCAGTCCATCTTTTTACAAATCCATCAGTTTTTCCACTGATTCACACATTGCAAACTCATTTATTACAGGTGACCCACCGCTCTCTCCTGCAGATAAGAGAGGAAGTGATAAATCTACTTTGTGTGAGATTGTTATCATTACCAGCAAAAAGTTGTGACATTGAAAATCAGATCAAAGATAATCATATACAGAGCAGACGAGAGAAGATAAAACCGTTTTTAGTGTCTGACATTTAAAGCGTGTGACTTTAACTTGATGATGCAGAGGAAAGTTTCGACTTGCAGACGTTTACTGTTGGTATAAAACTGCGTCTGAGATTGCACTTGAAACGTCAGTAAAACAAGCTGTGAAGTGACAGCTGTCAGATGATTTCTAGTACACAGATGGTTCAGTGAGGCAGAGAAGTACTCAAGGTGTCTTCAAACAGACATGACGTGCCACAATAAAGGGTTTACGGAGCTCCGGAGGTGGATACGGCATTGTTTGAGGAGAGCTTTTGAGTGATGGTGTTAACTTCCAGAAACATTAAAACTGGTAAATATGAGCATGTGTAGATTTTGCTATATATCCGTCGTATAAAAAGACCTTTCTATAAACCTCAAATCTCACCCACGTAAGATGTCAAAGTAAAGATGCCGCATACTTCTGAAGATGCTGCTCCCGGTATCACACTTATCTACGTTTGGTGCAATCTCGCTTAATTTTTATTTGAACATGACCTTTCAGCTTATAGAGAACATCACAATGAGAAAGATTGACGTCACTCACTCGTATAAAAATAGATAAAATGTGATAGAGAGCAGGAAATTATAAAAATACCCCTATAGAGATGTGAATAGCTCTCCCCTTCTCCTGGAAATTCACATCACTCCGCTCATACAAGTGCTCCTCTTGGCTCCTCTGAGCACAAATTTGGGTCTTACTCACAATTTCAGACATAAGAGAGATATGAGAAGGTTTGGAAAAGCTTTTTGGGGATCAAGGAGGAAGAAGATCACAAAATACAGAAAATCCTTCGGCGCCAACAACTTTCACGATGACTATAACGGGTACCTCTCTCAATGTAAACACTAAATAGACATATGTTCATATAGTTTTCTTGTCTTTGCAACCACTCCAATCACTTTTGTCACATTAACTGATGGCAGAGAGGATGGGACATAGGAGGGGACATTAACATGCTGCTGACTGCGCCACCAGGAGTGAGTTTGAGATCCTCTGAAGATCGATTAGACATTAGACTGCAGCAGCCGGGATCCTTCCAATACAACAACAGAGCTTTTGCCTCTCCAGGTTACTAATCAATCCAACATTCATACTTTCTAGCCAGTTCTGTAACACATGATCTACCAGAGGTAGTAAACTTCAAAATAAAAGCATAGTTTGACAATGCAAGAATCAAAGCAACCTAAACGAAGTCTGAAAAATACCAAAATAAAAGCATGACAAACAATCTTTTAATTGGGCAATGTTGTCTCCAAGAAGTTTCATTTAAGGAACAGATGATAAATCATGAGTCTGGATATGATGGTGGCATTTAAAGTAATCGCATCAATCAGTTAAGATTATGAAGTTTCTTATTACAGCCATGATAACAGTGAGGTGAAAATCTGACATCGTGATATCTCTAATTCCAATATGTGAATTGAAAAACCTAAAAAATAAACTTGATCTGCTTGTGGCGAGAAAAAAAACCTGCCAGCGCAACAAGTGAGATTTTTTCCATGTCAAGAAACTCCAGAAGCATAATCTGCTTCCTGCAGTGGCAGCTATTTTTACTCATATTACACTGAGTTCTCCTTTTTGCTTTTAATTTCTTGAGACCAGATGCTATGACAAGAACTCGCCTTATAATATGGCTTGCAGAAGTTGCATTTTGCTGCAGTCATAAAGGAGAAACGATCTGAGTCATCTACGTTTGTTCAAGTGACGTACACATAATAGCTGCAAAGCATTCTTCAGATTCACAGCGTTTACTTCGCTTTATTCCCTCTTTAACAGATGCTTTGATACACAAACATAGAAAACACAGATTCACATTGAGTTGAATGAATTCCGCCTTAAGGTAAATACTAAGCAGGTTGGATTCAGGTGCAGATTATGTGGGGCTCAGTTTAAATCTCAATACATCCCTGCAGACCCTCTGTTCCTTTAAAAAAAACACACGTTCCCATAAATTCTTAGGTCAAGGGAAACTCATTTGAAATGCATCAGATCTCATAATTCTTCCTCTTTAATGAATGAACTGTTGTGCCCAGATAAAAAGCCGAGGATAAGATGGGTCGGTTTTACAGCGCAGTGTGCATAACTTGACATAGATGAATTTAACAGCTCCTCATAAATCAGGACAGTGTGCACCAGTTGTGCTGAACATTACAACAGGGAGCTGTGCATGGATGCTCAGCACTCACAGATTGGAAGCATACACAATTGTGCTGTTAAACATCAAGGCCTTTGCATTTAGTTAAAGGGGACGGACATATAAATGTTTAAAGCAGGACTATAAATTAAGTACAGAGAGCCGTTTAAAGAGAGACAGCTCTGAGTGCCTGTGCATGGGTGTTTGGGGATTTGGGCTATTATTGGAAATGTTGCTGTTTAGTTAGCTTTGATATGCTTTTATCAGTTTTTCTTTGCATTTTTAAGTCCTTCACTTGAAAAGCTGTGCTGAAAGAGAAAAGTTTGAGTAAATCTCCATCACTGCGTGGAAAAATGTTCCCTTCAGGGCGGATTTGCTTCTGTCGCCTCTGCAGCTTACAGTGTTGATTTGCTGACCCTTGCTGCGTACACTGATTACATTTGCTATGTTGTGTTGATCCACATTAATTTCCCTTCATTAGACAGAAGCTGGCACAAATAGGATCAAGTTAATGGGAAATACAGAGGTTGAGTCATTTGATTACCTGTGTACGACTTCTTGTAGTCTATTTACCAACTGAAGAGGCTGAAATAAACAACTATCACCTTCACCTGCTGTCACCTCATGTTAGTATTTCTCTATCTTTGCTTATGACTTCACACAGATTTGACTCCTCTTTCAAGAAAACACATGGTTTCATGTATCACACTTTCATTTTAAGTAATACTCACCCTCTGTTTTGTTTGTTTTCTGAGCTCTCCAGACAAAAGGTTGACTTGTTGCTCAAAATGGCCTCTTAAGCCCCGCCCACAGGAAGAGGAAGAGGAAGAGGGAGAAACCATCAGAGGGAATGAAAGGAAAGACTTCTCACTTTGAAGAAAATCTTTAGTGGTTACTTTTGTTTCTTTAGTCAAAGACAATTTACTTTTTTCTGTGAATAATTTATTTGGATAAGTTGGTTGTAATGACTATTTTTAAGGTTATTGTCATTTTAGGTTCCCCCTGTGTTTCTGTTGGACTAGCCCACATGTCTTACTTGGGTTAGTTTAAGTTCTGTTTGGTTGTAGCTTTAGTTCTTTTCACTAACTCGATCTCTCTTTGATTATTTCTTCTTTCTCTTACATTACATGAAGTTACTTTCGTCTGTCTCTGATTTCTCAAACTCTGATTAGACCCAGACCTTTGTCCTGTGCATAATTTCTTGGTCACAGTTATACATTTATATATCTTAGTAACCTTTGCTGATATAAAATAGCAAACAAAATACATCATCCCTTGACTGCTTGCATCTTTTGCAGGTGTTGTATGGCGCTCACTCGTCTCCACCAAAGAGCGATGTCAAGCGAATGTGAACCCCCTAATCTTCAGTGTTGGATAAACAAAAGGAAAAAGAGGAAAAAAGGACACGAAGAGGACACAAACAGAAGCAGAACTTGTAATATGATTTCCTCTCTGAATTTGTCTTCACACTCTGGCTAACTTCTTTCCTGTCTTTATTTTTCTGTCTCTCACAGTCTCCGTCCTCTCCTGTCTCTGTACTCTGATCGTTTTCATTGCTCTTCAGAAGAGTCCTCAAATTAAAGCCCGCTGACGTCTTTGTATCATTCATCAAAGCTGATGTGTATGCTTTATAAAGCCTGATGGGAAATTGAATGCAGAGATGTGGAGAGTCATTATTTGTGTCACATAATGAGGTACTTTTTATTTTCAACGAATGTATGTGAAAATCAACATCATCTGCCCGGGTCTTTTATTTCTGTAGATATTCAGAATGTATATGAAGCCTCATGGTTTATGAAGGCTGGCTGCACTCGAAACCAGTGATAATTTCTGCAGCTTTTTTTGGATTCAGACCTGGTTTTTTAACTAAAATAATTTTTAATTTCTGTCACATTTCACCAGTTTTGGTCCTAAATAGTTTAAGTTGAATTTTAGTCAACAAAAAGTCAAAACATCTTCTGTCTGCAAGCTTGTTTTAGTGTTTAAATCTACAGTGTGTCACTTTCTTAACACTAGGATTGGTGTAATATCTGGATGTCCTACCTTATATGAATGATTAAAATTCTCCCACAATGCAATGCTGCTGCGCTGTCTCTGCTGATCTACTAAGGTACTATAAAGGAACGATCTGTACTCTGAGTAAGTTTTACTTTCTGTTGTCATGGATATCTTTGTATTTTTTTATTTCTTCTTTTTGTAGGGTTGGGGGGTGGGGGGTCCAGGGTAGAGACACTAGGGACACATCCCTACCAATAATCAGCTGCTACAGTGAAGTCCCTATCAATACAACCACTGTCCATAGTGTTTAATCAATGATTATGGCACACAAAGGGTTCACAGTCGGTCTCTGCTAAAAGTCCCGCTTCTAACCTAAATATCGCTCTTCAATTGACTGCCGGTTTCTCGCTTACATACATGTGATTAAAGTAAAAGTTACCTGATAGCTGGACCGGAGGGGAGGCAGACAGTGCATGTTATCTGCAACCGCTAACTGTAAGATGTCAACATGACTGTGATTGTTTGCTGTTAGATCAGCTCTACATGATGCACAATGATGGTTGCAAATGCAAAAAAACAAACTTTCAGGAGGACAATTTTGTGTCCCCACCAATGTCAAAATCAAACCTCCTCCCTTGGCCCCTGATAACCTTCATTCCAAGAAACGTCTCTGGACAGACCCAGAAAGTTTCACTCTCAGCTTCAGACACTTATCTTTAATGATTTGTAGTTTATCCTTACCAAAACGTCTTGTTTAATCGGCGCTCTGACTTATCTCCGGATTAGGATAAAGCGAGGTTTGGACACAGAGCTGTTAACAGCGAGAGCAGGAACCTGGTAGCTGGGGGATGAGGAGCTGGAGAGGATTGATTTTTTTTTTCCACTCTCAGTGCTGGTTATGCCAAAGATTTCCATCTTGTCCTTTCTGGTCTAGACTGAGTCTCTTCCTGCTTTAGTCTTCTCCATCTTGTCAGTGATCTCAAACCGCTCTGGTCTCTGTTGAAGCTGTCTTGACTAAAACATTTTCAAGAACTTTAGTTTACACCGTTCAAACACAAGCTGAACTGTGCTTTCCTCGTATGGAAACAATGCTTAGCTTGAACTCTGCTTGACAGTTAAATTGAATCAATTATCCTGCAAATTTATTTTCTAAGAAGTGCCCAAGCAAGAGGTTTTTTTTCTCCGTTATGCTTTTATTTTCACCGATCTCTCTGTCTTTCACTCTACTTGAGTCTTTTATTCTGCATGTGTGATTGCCAAACTGTGGATGACCCACATTATGTTTTGTGCCTGAAAGCACTTGATGTAGAGACAGAATGCAGCAACATGGACAAAGCACTAAAGCTGCTCCTAATGCTGCTCGTGCTGCGTCCTCGAAGAAGACAGTCAGTTCAAATGTTTGAGATTTAGCAAGTAAATGGAAGAAACGTAGGAAGAAATGCCTGACGCCTCTTCAGGTTTATATCTCTGCTCATCGCTGCTGCTGCTGAAAAAGTTTTAAAAAGGAGATATCATGCACCACTAAAACATGAAAAACAGTTAAGATGTCACGCAAAGTAACCCTTCTAGTGTCACCTGTGTGTCTGTATCTCTGTTTGGAGATAACAAAAGCACAGATCCTTTATTAAAGGCTTGGGGGAAATATCGACGAAACAATCTGACCTGCAGGTCCATTTTTAAGTGCTCTGCAGATTTAGATCATATCACATGATCACAGCAGCCGTCTCTATTTGTTTTTTTATGTGTTAAGTGTTGCTGTTAAGTAGACAAGGAGGGCCTGACGATAAAATGAAGGCTGTCCTCCCAAGAAAAAACTGACAGCATCAGTCATCTGAGCAAGCGACAAATAAAAACTTTATGTTCAGGGACAAACAGCGCTGGTGGCTCTTTGAATTATGACTGTTGTCTATGGGGAACAAAAGAGGAAATTGTGTGATGTTGTAAATAGAGACATGAAGTCTGCAGAGGAAATGCCTAGAAGGATGGATGGATGAGAAAAATCTCAATCATTTATACCCCCCATCAGTTAAAGGTGCAGTCTGTATTAAAGGGATATTCCGGCGTAAAATTAATTTAGGGTCAAACACACCATAACACCGAGTTAGACACCCCCATCGAGAGATGAATGTTTCAGACCGCTTGCTTCTCTAGTTATACCAACTTTAAAAACGACTGCAGGATAGCAATACACAACAGTCTGAGGAGCCATAAACAAACCTCAACCAAAACGCAGACCTGTTTGTAGCAGACCTCAGGCCAGTCCATTATGGAGTACTGCGGGGTGACACAGCTCAGGGAAGAACATTTATGATCATTACTTCATGGAAATGCAATCAGACCGAGACGCTAAGACAGAAGAACTACCGCGTCTGCAGTGCAAAATGATTAACATGGTGATTATTACTTCAAGGAAATGATAAAGAAATTATCATAAATGTTCTTCCTTGAGCTGCGTCACCCCACTGCAGTACGTTATGGACTGGCCCAAAGTCTCGCTACAAACAAGTGGCTGCTGGAAGAGAGTAGGTGAGCTGTGTTTAGTCTCTTTGTTACAGAAATCAGGCAAAGTTAAAAAGATGTTTGGTGGCTAGTGCTGTGGCTAGGACCCTATATGTACTGTTGATGAAGTTAGGTGCTGTTCTGAGCATTATTTGTGGCTATAGAGTGGCATTTTGGTTGAGGTTTGTTTATGGCTCCTTAGACAGCTGTGTATTGCTATCCTGCGGTAGTTTCTAAAGTTGGTATAACTAAAGAAGCAAGCCATCAACAACATTCACCTCTTGACAGGGTGTCAAACTCAGTGTTGCAGTGTGTTTAAACTAATTTTACGCCCGACTATCCCTTTAAAGCAAACCCGATAGAAATGCTGTATTATACTCAAAAATATGTTCTGTAATTGCATACTCAGTCAAATATAGAAATATTGTTAAAATGTTTACTGCGAATACTAACTTCTGGCAAAGTTACACATTGTGAGGTAAACATGAGTCAGCATAATCCCAGGATGAGCCCTGCAGGCTGCAGAGCAGGGGTAGGAAATCTCAGCCTTTTATGCACAAATCTTAACCCTTTTTCAGGATGACACTCACAATTACAAAAAGAAAGGAGGATTGACCTCTCAGGTAAAGTCAAGATACTTTAAATTATGCAAAGCTATGGAGGAGATATCGTTTTCTAAGTACAAGAAAGTTTGCTGCAAGAGGTTTCGAGACGTCTACGAGCAGTGTGCTGTGAGCTGTAGGAGTGTGATTTCAACATACAACCCCAGGAAACATACATAAAGTATATGACCCAGAGGAGAAACATTCTTAAGAACATAAAAGCCTCTGAAAGGTCCCTTTAATGCGTCGTATTCAGAGAACCCGAGCAGCACAGAACCATGGGAACATACTAAAGTACCAATGAGACCTACATCTACTCAAGCACAGCAATCATTCTTCAGTTGTTCTTACTGACAATGTTAAAATGATATCTTACAGTGTAATAAGTGATCAACAGTGTTTCTAATTATGATTTTAACCCTGTCAATGAAACCCTCTGAATGTCATAACCTGACCTACAGATTATCATGAAGAAAAAAAAAGGTACAGAGTGAGGACAACAGTTATTAAAAATGAACTCATCTTAACACTTCTGCCGCCCTGATGTTCATGCCAATAAGATTCACCACAAACAGATAACATATCATCGGACAAATATGTCTGCTAAATATAACTAAAACATTGTTAATATCTTTCCTAAATAAATACTTCAGGACAAAAGTCCAATATCTTGCAACAGAACTTTGATCCAAATTGGTTTCAGGCATTCAAATAATTATGATATAAACATTGTTTAACTTCTCGCTGATGGTCTTGTTTGTTTTAGTATTTCATCAAAAAGTATTAATATGATTTTCAGCTTATTTCATTAACATAAAACAACTCTAAAAATATATATATTTATGTAACATCAAATATAGGGTTTTCTTTTCAAACTGGACAAAGGGTTAACTATTCAAACTAAACATTAAAACTCCAGTAAATAGGTTTTATCTTACTATAAAGCAAACTGAACTATAAAAAACAGTTTAACTTTTTATGAACGAAAAGGGCAAATGAGCTTGTGACAACGTGACAGACCTCTTTATAGTTATTTTAAAACCTGTAAAAGATGACATGCAGTGAATGTCAGACAGCGTGATTAACAGCGTGGTGTCAAGACAGCCTTTTTTAGCATTTCCATGAAGGTACCGTTCACATGTCCTAACTCTGTGATGGATGGTTTGAAGACAGTAGTGACGCAGGTTTTATACAACCATAAATTTGAGTTACTGCAGGCGAAGTGAACTTAATCCAGCTCTAATGTTGTTTCCCCCTGAGAAGTGATTATGAAATTATTTGTTCTTAAAAAGATAAAGACAGCATGAGTGTAGCTTTTCACACATTTGGTTTTGGTTAAATGTTTGTGACTCATTCTGAGAAGCATTTTTCTACCACAATGCTTTTTGATGTTCAGAACAAACTTCAAACTCCATTTAAATCTCTTGTACAGTCTAAACCTGAGTTTTTCTGTGTTTTTCAATGTTAGTTTGTTTGCAAAAACATCTGAATTTAGCTGCTGAACTATGAACCTTTTTGGTCCGCAATTATCTTTAAACTGATGGACCTCTTTAGAGTTTTTTTAACTCATGATTCAGGTCAGTCAGGAAGAAAAATGGTGGATTTTCAAAAAAAGAAAAATTGTTTATTGTGACAAAATCAGCTCCATGATGACTTTTCAAGAAGGTGATACTTCAACAACAAAATTCCGAACACTCTGCTCTGGACATGCTGTTTTGTAATACCTGCATGCTTAAAGGGGTAATCCCATTGGAATAAACCTATTTGGTAACTTTGCTGCATGTTGGCCTTGTTTTTGAGAATTCCAGCGTGGTTGTGTGACATTTTGTTGAACAGGCCCCATGTTGTAAATGCAAATAAATTCCTGGCGTGGAAAAACAAAAGAGGAAAGTGTTCTTTTACCGCTAGCGTACAGAGGACAAATAGGAGCAGGCAGCACTTTGACACTGAGACGGCACAGGGGAAAGTGGGAGTGTGGAGGTACAAAGGGCAGGTGGGGAGATACATTTACTTTTAACTACGGCAGCTCAGGTTAAATGTCAGCATGAGGCGAGCGTTCGCTGCTTAGATCTGTCACCTCACAGCCGCCAGTGCGTTTCATGTTCTGTGTGTGTCTGAGCGCGTTTCCTCCCACGGTCCAAAGACATGCAGGTTAAGTGGAACGGAGGCTCACAGATTGCCTTCAGGTGTGGATGTGTTTGTCTGTCTGTGTGCGTTAGACCTGTGACAGACCGGTGACATGTCCTGGCTCGGTCCTCACTCACATTGTGACACAGGAGGTTAGAAAACAGATAAATAGATTTGGGTTTTGTGGCAGATCTGACAAATAGCCTCAAGTGTTGTCACTGACCGTAATGTTCGCAATCAGTTTGAATTATGGGTATTGTAGGCACCAGGATTTGATAATAAAAGAAGAATATGCGCAACAAAAAAATCTGATATCTCTCAATAGGATGAATTTTGTTCCTATATTTCACAATGTCCGCCCACAGCCTCATTTTCACATCTAGTATTCCTGCACCATCCTATGCGCTTCCTGTTGCCAGGTTACAAAGGTTGTCCTGTGGCACTTCTGCTCCTCTCAGAGGAAGTTGGGACTATAGTCAGTTTTAAAATGTTTTGTTATTTGCTTTCATTCAACCGTTTTTTTAACACAAAAATATGAAAACAAATGATACAAACTGTGTCCTTGTGTTTGCAGCAGGTAAAGAACTGAAAAACGCAGAAGTGTCTTCCTCCTCCTGTCGTACATGCAGTAGGGGAGAGTGGGGTAAGATGAGCCATTTTTCATATTTCGGATCACTGCATCATGACAATCATAGTTTTGTCTCTAACTGGTGTATCTGTATATATTTCAAGATGTTGTTCGTCCCTGCAAACCAACAGAATGAGTGTAAACAGAACTGTCTTGATAATATGGCATGCCAAAAACAAGTGCTCTCCTATGGTCAACTTACCCCGTGTATGGGGTACTCAATCATATCCCACTTTACATCGGGTCCTTTAAACAGAGTGTGGACTGGACCTGCTTTTTTGTTGTGCACTATCTGAGTAAAGATTGATGGACTGATTAAAGACGACTACTTCTTTCTGTGTTTGTTACTGCTCATATTAGTCTGTAGGTTAGTCATCCATTTCTTTCAGGCGTCTGTGAATTGTCTTCAGCTTCACCAAAGATTCATTTCCCCTCTATTTGGTTTAACTCAAATGTGTATTTAAAGCCAAGAGGGATTAGATTTTAAACTCGCAAATCCCAGCGGGGATCCAGCCTAAAGTTAGAAATCCAGTGCAATAAACTATTAAACTCTGTTGTTTGAGTTGGACCTTTAAAGATTTAGACATGCAGTAGAATTTAATCCAGTTAAGCCTGTCGAGAAAATCCAAAACAAAGTGTCCAGCAGTTATAAAAAGCAGCAAAATGGTGTTGAATGTAGAACAATGAGTGCTTTCTGTACAGCCTGGTTGTGTCACAGTATTTAACATTCAACTTGAAGCTCTATTGCTTTATGTATTAACTGCACTCTCTCTGATTGCGGTAAAAGTCAATTAAAGGGGATTCTGTTCAGGATTGTTTGGACACAAGTCAACTACTCGCCTGCTTCAAAAAGCCCCGAACAGCACACTATAGCTCTTTAGTTTTACTGCAAATCCTGTGCTGCAATACTGACCAAGCAGAGCCAATTCAGGGAGGCAGAGACTGGAGACAATGAAGGGCACCTTCACCTCCCAAAGCATTCAGTTACAAAGAGACTCTTACCTGCTGCTGCTTTAAATGCAAACCTGATAATCAAATGCAGCATTTAGGGGGATATTGTTGATGAGAAATCATGAGTGTGACTGTGAGAGGGGCAGCTGGTTTTCATAAGGGCTCATTGTTTTCAGTATTCAGCGCTGATTTGCAGCACAACAAGCAGATTTAACCTCTTTTTCACAGAGAGCGTCAGTGCCCACATACAGACGAGCTGCTGTGTTTCCAGCTGCATGGAGACAATGATCACCGCAGCTTACAGCAAGTAAAGGTCCGTGCGGTTCACTGTTCACAAAACGTTCTCGTTGTTCGGTGATTTTAAGAAGGGAAATGAGGAAAAATGAGCTGCTGGTTATGCACAAAAAACTTTCCCGGTGTGAAGTACAATAGATGTTCAAATTGCTGTGCTTCTGATAAAAGCTATTTTTAAATCCTGTTTTTACCGAGAGTTTTATTTTGATCTTTTTTCCTAACAGGAACACTATTCACTGTTACAAAAAAAGTTTAAAAACATTTATATAATTGATCTCTCCCTCTGTGTTCACAAGCAGCTTGTAGTTTTACACTAAAACCTCAAAATCCACGAGTTCAACCTGACAAAATAAACTCTGCAGCAGTAAATGTTTTTATATCAATATTCAGTTACTGCTTTAAACAAATATCTATGTTTAAGTGCTGCTAACAGCCTGCAACATTCAACTCTAACTTGATTCCTAACGTCTTAAATCCTGGTCAGACAGGAAAAAGAGGCTGTGCAGAGCCTTGGCCAGGAATCCTTAATGCTAGAGACATCTAAAAGACATCTGTTGATGAGATGTAAAACAATTGTTCAAAAGAGAAAAGTGAGTGTCAACGCCAGCCCCGATGTTGGTCTAAAAGGATCGTTTTAATTTAACAAAAAAATCATAATAAGATGTGCTTTGCTAAATACAGACTGCTCCTTTAAGACCAGATTTCACGTGGCTGTTGGTACAACATTCACACACATATTAGTGGAGACTTTCAATGAGCATCATTTAGATATTGCAGCTGAAATTGATGTTTTAAAGCACACCTTAAAATGCACTAAAGTCGCCAATATGATGCCGGAGTGGAAATCTGGTTCACAGCCTCCTCGGCCCTGAAAGAGACAAGGTTGAGGAGAACAGGTCCTGATCCAGAACAATAATCTGTCGACTTCACTGACAGAGATATCTCTGAGAGTCTTCACAGACTTTATTAAAAAAAAAAATAATGATAACTTCAGAATTTCAAATACTTAATTTTATTAATGTGAATGCAAAAAATGACAAAATGTATTCAGACACAACGACGTCGAAATCGTTTGTCATTAAAGCTCCAGTGAGGAATTTTTGGTTTGTCTAAATTTCGGCGCCTCCTGTACTCAGAGCAGACTTTTACTTTCATGTCTTTTACATGTTTGAGCATTATTTCTCCCACAAAATCTCATTCAGCTGACTTTTTAAAGTTAAATCAATCATTTATTGTGAATGTTTTATGTAGAAATTGTGAAAACATGGTTGCTTCTGTCGCTGCTTGGCTGACACCTCCCCTCACACTGACTTAAGGCAACTAAAGACACAGTACAAGAATGATCAATGGTTTTCTTTGCTTTTGTAATTCATAAAAAGGTATCGATATGAATTCCAGACTGTTTCATAAACATAAAAATATCCTAACAGGAGCTTTAACTCTGCAGTGATAAACACAGTATACATTTTGCATCAAATTGAATCAAAGAGATCTCGCTTTTGCTTTTGAGAAGAAGCTCTTTCGCAGTTTGATGTTGATCAGACTTAAAAAGCAAAAAGGTTGTAAATAGGTGAGTTTCTTAAGACAACCTTTATTTGTCTGTAAAAATAGTTCAACATACATCATGTACTAGAAGAAGGCCAAAGGGGAAAAAATAGTACGAGTTCATGGTACTCATCTTCATTTTCTGCTCTTCGTCTCCAGTGTGACGACAGCTGAAAACAGGCGACGCTGTCAGGGACCTTGAAGACCGAACCTCAGCCCTGGCGGTATGACGAGCCGTGAAGCAGGCCGTGTTGCTTGGTTTCAGCTCACAATGCGGCGACGAGCGGCCCTGACGCATTAACAAATGAAGACGGATTGCGTATGATGACACGAGTCGGGTTTAATTCTCTCTTTGCTGAGAGCGGAGAAAGAGCTGAGGGAGGGAGCTGTAACTGGAGCGCTGGAAGTTAACTGAACATGTAACAAAGCCCAGAGGTGTGGCTTTGATCTTCAGTGATGCTCGCTTTCCTGCACTCAGGTGGCCTTTTCCACAGCACCTCTGGAAAAAAAACTCCATCTCACACACTAAATGAGCAGCTCCTGAAGTCCCTCTTGAATCTGGAGGATGAAACACACAGACAAAGCAGCATTAGTCTTCTCTGTTGTCTCGGTTTTACATAAGAGAGGAGCCACGTGCTGCTGCTGACGGAGGCCTGCATGCATTGTAAATCTCTTATCTCTGCGCAGCACAGGTGGGGTCAGCTCGTTTCCTCTGCAATCAATTCAAGATGTCAGCAGAAATTCTGCTTTATTTTCCTCCGATGGAACATTCGCTCTTATTTATTTGTCAGCGGGTTGGATATACGGCGAGCCGGGACTCCTGTCGCCTGCAAACAACACAACTGCTTCTTTCAGCACAACATGCTTCTGTCAACAGGCCTGAATTCTGAGCTATACCGACCTTGGTGTATGTTTTATAAGACCTATAGCCCACAAAAATACGACCATTGTTGTATTTGTACATCATTCAAATCATTGCTTTCTAAGCTTACCTGACATCCTGCAGGCGAACACTAACCCTTACTTTTTTGAAACACGGACAAACTTTGACTCATCACCAACCTTCGGTAAACTGATGTGTTTTTCTGTCAGCTCATATAGATCCTCCTCTCACACACGTACAGAAACTCACCACCATTTTTTGTTTGCTTGTTTAATCCTGTTGTTTACTCAAGACTCCTCGGAGCCTCTTCCTTTGGCAGACTCTATATGGTGTGTTTTGAACTAGTGTGAGCGTATGAGAGGAGGTAGAAAAACACAGTCTCTCTAGCTGATGCTACCTCTGTGTGCACATTAAACAGCCTCGGGTTATCACCCATGCTCCATACTTACTACAGACTCAACAGCTGCTGGATCACTGAAACTCCTACATGATATATTTGAAAATAAAGTTTATAATGCTGGATTCACTCCTGCTGCAGCCACCAGCTTCATGATTACAAATAACAACCGGCTTTTCACTACTGTACAACTCAGAGGAGGGTTTTCTTTTGACTCTGAAACTGGTTTCTTTGTTGGGCTCGTTCACTCAGATTCAGCTTCAAAAGATGCGAAAAAACAATCAATCAAAAATCTCTAACTCAGCACACAAATGTGTTTCTGAGCTCTGAGACGTTTGTTCATGTTGTCCATTGTGTTGAACACATTTCTTTTCTTCTGAGTGGAGCTGGTCTGGTCTTTGTGGGGTTGGAGATCATCAGGGTCTGTCGGGCTAACTCGAACACAAACAGAAAGTTGTTCACAGCTTGATTCGAGGACATCAGGGACAGACAGTACTGCCATCAACAACAGATGAAGTTGGAGTGTAGCAGAGCTGAGGGGTCTGTACCATCTGGACTTCATGGATGTAAGGCCTGTTGTACTGAACAAGTTGCGGGGCGATGTAAACATAGTACTTCAGAAAATAACTTGGCTCGAAAGCCAGTTTGTTCAATCGGTGAAAGGGCGAGTCTCAGGGGGGAAACTGCACACAGCAGCTCATGAGTGCGGCGACTTGGAGACTCTGCAGAGTGAGATTATTTCAAACCCTGCATACTTGGACGCAGTAAGATGATTAAATGGTAAAACATACTTGGAGGCTTATGTTTGAGTGAGAAGAAATTACCATCCACAGATTGTATATAGAATGGACACCGTCTGTCTCCCCCCTTGATGATGCCACCCTGAGAACAGCACCCTCTGGTGACGGGCTGCAGTATAGGTCATAAATCCCGCCTCTTCCAGCAAGCCCTATGGAGCTGTGGAAAAAATTTTGAAATTTATTACACAGAATATAAATTTTTCTCCTCCCTTGCTTGCGATGTCGACATGTAGCTACTGTAAGACTGGTTTGTGCTCAAGTCCTCTGTTTTCTGTGCAGCTCCATTTTTAAAAGTTATTAGGGGTTTATGGAGAACATCTCCGAAATACCGAGAGCAATTCGGCATCAAATTCATATAATGACAGAAGGCGGAGCCAAGTGGTACACTGTTTATACAGTCTATGTTACCATCCTTAGCACATCCCACACTTAAAAATGCATCTGAAACATTTAAATTATAGTACGTACAAACTATATTCTAATCATTTCATTGTATTTTATCACTGATCGACTTTTTTATAATCTCATCTTCATGTTGTTCTTGTCTGTTCTGTTTTCCAGTATCTTGTATGCTCGTGTGGCTTCTTTGGAACAAGACCAGTTGATCAAATAAACCACAACTGCACCACGACTGCTGTACTGGACCTCACTGACCCACACATTCAGTAATCTGTGTGAAAAGGGAAAAAAAAGTGCTAGTTTCTGTTGAGACACTGACTCTAGTTTGGCAGCAGACTTTCCACCCAGATGGACACCTTCCCATCACCAGACTGCACAATACTGCAGTGATGTCATCCTCTATCTGTGGGAATATCAGCGTGACCTCCTGTCCCAGTGTTTATTTTCCGTTAGTCGTTGGAGGGCGGCCACATTGACTGGAATTGGAGTTATTTGCTCATGACACGTGGGTGGAAAGCTTCATAGCTCACCGTTGTGTCCAAAACTATGACATTGTGATCATTTTACTTCTTCATTGATAAGCGACAACAAAAACAATGATTAGTAAAAATCTGGACAGAAATCAAGGCCGAATTCCACTTGGGCTGTTGGCTCTGCTGAGACTGTTTAGTTGATGGAGCATGAAAAAGGAAATGGTTGCTATGATGTGCAGTTTTTTCTCTACATACCTCTACTTTCTGCTTTTCTGCACCACTTAAGACAGTTTCCTCTTCATCATGCAGCTTTGGAAGTCTTAATCTGACCGTTTTGACGTTCAACCATGAAGTTATTCTAAGTCTCCAGTTCAGAAGTTGTGTCAGCTACAGACTAAGTTATGTTTTTCTCCTGCCAAGTTTGTACAAAATTTGCAGATGAAAGACCAGAAGCTTGTCATGTCAAACGGGTGAGATATAACAATCTCAATATTAAACCATAAACCATCTTGAACAGAATTAAATCCATTTTCTAATGGGTCGGACTGTGTTTCGTGTTTACATGGAGCCTTTTTATTCATATCAGACCATATTCCCGTTTTAAGTGGTCAGTTTTAACCTCACTTTACAAAAATATTCAGCTCAGATATTTTTCAGATCTGGAGAATTCAATTTCCCACTTTTGACTCTTTCAAGTAGGAGTGCTGGCACTCAAGCAAGGAGTCTAGTCCATTTAACCATTTTCATATGGACTTCACTAGACCGCTCTCAAACTTCCCACCCTGAGCGAGGTGTCACCATAAAACGGTTGCCATGAAAAATTGATCTATTTGTCTATTTCATACCTCCCTTTTACTGCAGCCCCTGTCTCTGCCACTCTCTCTCTCTCTCTGGAGTTCAGCCTCCGTGTCTTCGTCTCTCTTTTACTACACTCTTATGGTTTGCATCCAGTTCAAGACTCTTCTGCCGACCCAAAGGGCACTGTGGGCTGCTGCTCCTTCCCACAGTTCCTCCGAGCCACAATCAGACCCTTCACTCACTCTCATGCCTCCTCTTTGCTCAGGCCCCATAGCGATTTAATGAACTCCAAGCCAAAGTCGGAACAGAAGAGGTACTGCCCATCTCCTGCTGCCGGCTGAAAACCAACCTTTCAACAGACAACTACTTCACATCGTGCTTAGTCTCTCCAACATCTTACTCTCTTCAAAACTAGTTCCACTCACTGTCAGCTGCTGCAGCGGAAAAGAATATTTCATCTGGCAAAGCAAACCACCAGTTAAGATTTTGATGTATAAATTATTATATTCAGGAGCGATTTAGTCGAATCTGTAGAATGAAAGAGGTTTGCTGATGTTATAAATGGTCATGACTCATATCTGTAACGATCCTGGAAATGTTATAAAGATTTGCTAATAATATCAAACACCAGGATCTACTTGCGCAAAGCAGAGAGCAATAATTTAAAGTTCCCCAATGTGTCTGCTGAAAGTTCAAGCTGGAATAAAGAGCTTAGGGGAGGGGTAACTTAATTCTACTGCATCATGGAGAACATATGGTGAGTGGGAAGGAGACTGAGTGCAGAGAGGAGGTGCTAATGACTGATGTACAGGAGGCAGAGTTCACCGCGGGATACCAGGAAATAAACATGAAATACTGGAGATCTGTGTTTGTTTTTTTACTCTGCACATTATTGGAGGGGTTTTCAAAGCGGGAGAGGGCTCAGAGTCTGGCTGGCACCTGCTTAGTTAAAGGGATTATGTCCTTTTTAAAGGTGGAGTTATTGAGGGAAACGCATCAGAAAGAAGCAGGCTGTTTGCAACGGTTAAGTACAGTTTCTGATTCGATGGGGCTGCAAGAGCTGCAACATAAGAGCTAGAACATGCTGCAAAACACATCATGCGGAACACAGATTTGAGCTAAATTTGAGTCCTACATGGAAAACAAAATCAAATGGATCACTTAGAACAGCAGTTATTAAGATACACAACACATTAGACAGAAAATATAGCCCCTACATTATCTGGGTGGTTATCGAAGCTGTTTCTGGACTTTTTGAAGATCGAGAACCAGCTGTCCAAAATGGAAATGCACAATCACCAAACCAGCTGCTCATTTGGAGTACCTCAAGGCTCTATACTTGGACCAATCCTCTTTAGCCTTCAGGGAAATTTTTGTCCAGATCTTTAACTGTAGTTGTACGCTGATGACACAGTTTTATACACAGATTAGCATGAAGCCGTTGTAACATCACCTACAATTTAGAAACAGGTCTCACTGGCTTCAAAACTTAGATTTACATCTCATCTTTGCACCTTTTTAAGATAAGTGGGTTTTGGTAGTGGGAAAATTTTCCTCACCATAATAACCTTGTCCTTTACCCAGAGAGGAGAAAAATACAACTGCACTACCAAACCAGAAAGCTCACACCTGAATGATCATCAGCCATTGTGTGTTTATTGTGTGGGATATTTTCCTCTTAGGTTGCTACTGTGCTGATGTTGGCGTGACCTTCCCTCTCAAGTTGGTTGATTCATCTCATGCAATTGTTGGCTTCTTGGCATTTAGCAACAAGAAAGAAGTCCTCTTAAATGTCTGTAATTGTTGTTGCGTTTCTAGATACACAAGTAGTTACTGCAAGTTGTAGAAAAGTTACAGAATCCCAGCCCTGCTTGTTACAGGCTCTTCTTTTGCTGGTAATTTCTTGAAATAATAAGCTTATCTGGACTTGTCAGGGTATATGACTTATATTGAGCTAAATGAGTTTTTGGTTACTCAAAATAATCATAAACCCTCACTTTGTTCTGAGTGTGTAGGGAGAAGCATGAAAAACCAGGGTCAGTACTTTATCAAACCTAAATTTGACTTAGATTAGAGCTTTGTGTCTAAATTTGAGCTTCTGTCTTTCAACACATTTGTTGGGACCTGAAAAAATACTGCATCATGGTGTTGTAACAAGTATTTTCAGATAACAGACCTGAATGAGGATACACCATTCAATAGAAACATTCAGTACAAAAAAAACAAAAATGTTCATTGTACTCAAACATAATATCCATGAGCAGCAGAGCTTAATTAATTTGCTCCAGTCAGATGACTCACGCTGTACGGCTTTAAAAGTGTATTTCAACAGCGATGATTGTTTGTAACAGGTGTCTTTTTGGCAGATTTATTTTACATACAGATAATTGAGGAGAGGTGTGATAATATGTTCAACCCCTCTGGAGCCTGCAGGTGGATGTCGGCGAGGTGTTGATGCCTCGGCTGTGAGTGCAAAGCTGATGCAGCTCAGACAGAAAGACCTGAAAATCTTGGAGCTTAAATGGGCCTCCAAGGGAGGATATGTTACGTGCAGCAGGTGATGGAGTGGATGACACAGGTCAAGTGTGAAACCGTTGCAGCTTGGGTTTCCCACCTCAACTAGCTCACAGGTTACTCCACAGATGTGTACGTTATATTTATTGTTTACAGTGTTTACAGTTATTTTCTGAGTCTATCAGTATTGGTTTTGTTGTATTTTCTACAAATGTACAAACACATTAAGTCATCTGTGGAATCCTGAGAAATCGTTGAAAAACCAACAGTCCTAATATGAAGAGAGAATTTGTGTTTTAAAAGAGACACGAAAACTTTAAGTTACCTTCAGCTTTTCTTGTTTTCAGATTTAACTCCAAAAAACTGAAGAAAGTTCTTACCAAATCCAAGTCCCGACAGCAGTTACTCGACATTTGTGGACTTTTGCGAACAGTTTAAACCATTAACATGCCTGTACTGTTTGGTACCTTAGGATCTCAAGATAGTATCAAAAATTGGTGGTTACGTTATCCTTTGAGATAAGTTATATCATGTTCATTAAAAATAATGGTGCATGCATAACAAGACTATCTTTTAATTTTTTTTTTTGAACTGGCAGAAAACAGTTGTTAAACTCCAGGTCTTTTATTTAATTATTTACTATTATGTCCAATTGTGTTGTTTGGTGTTATGTCCTTTTAAGATGCTGTCATGTCCACATTACAGCAACCAACATGTCATGTTAAATTGCCCCTGGGGAACATAAAGTGATTTAAATTTAACTGAATTGAAAAATTGCAAGTAAGTTAAAGATAGGGATGACGCAAAATACAATTTATGTTGCAATAATGCAGTACCTCCAAACAACTCCACCAACTCCAGCTGCTGCTTCTGCTGCTGCAGGGCTACCATCCTCAAAGCAACTGGGTAAGCACATCCAGACTTTGTAGCAGGTGCTGTTTGTTAAAATCATAATCATAAAATCATAATCAAATGTTGAAATCCATGTTGGAATCAGCAGGATAAAAGCTGGTTAGCTAACTAACTGAGGTGACATATGATTACACTGTAAGTTTCTCAAGGTCTGGTCAGTAAAATGAGGAACTAAAGCTCCCAGGAGGGATTTTTACATATTTATGAAATGGAATAAAATTAATATTGATGCTCTTTTTTATGATTTACAAAAACAAACACCATCAGCAAGAAGACTGAATATCTTCATATTATAATTAGAGGGTAGGTGTCAGCCAAGCAGCTGAAGAAACAGCTCTGTTTTTATAATTTCCACATAAAATGACACATTTGACTGTACAAAGTCAGCAGGATGAGTGTTTTTTTTTTCTTTTTTTTTTCAGGAGACACCCTGCAGGCATATGGAGGACAAGAAAACTTGTTTAGATACAATAGTTTGGGAGAAAACAATAATAAAAAACAAACTTGATAGGAGTACAGTATCTATAAGGGCTCCAATCATTGAGGAGTCTTGATAATGGTACCAGTATCAATAAAAATTAACGATCCCCATCCAGAGTTAGCACAGAAGTTTCTTTTACTTTTTCTATGTCCTTTCAGTCTCATTCTTCTCTTTCCTCTTTTATCTGTAAACTCTTGTTCATATAGGAGTCCTCTCATGCCCAGAGTAAACGATTTATAGTTTGTATTTCTGTCTCCTTCGAAGCCCATGTATCCAAACAACTGATCAGTGCTCTGCAGACACAAGAACATGTCTGTGTTGTTAACCTCCACCCCAAAGGATTTCATCACTGATGGCAAAGTAAAGCGCGGACAATTTGTGCCACAAATACTGTTTACTTTGTAGGTCTTAAAGCTCCTATGAGGAATTTTTTCACAAATATGAAAGCGACTAAAACTCATATTGATGCCTTTCCATGGTATCGAAAGGCAAATAAGACCATAAGCAACAAGATGGATCATGTTTATATCTTAGCTTTAAAGCCTGAAACCAGTGAAAGAGGTGAAGTGTTGACTGGACAGCTACAGAAACAGCGCTGTTTTTACAATTTTCAACAGAAAATGATTGATTTGACAGTTAAAAGTCAGCAGGATGAGGTTTTTGTCAAATTTGCCACTTGAGTATGTATACAGTGTACTGCAGCTGATGGTTTAGCCTTAGTTATGGTTGTCTAGCTAGCTTCTTGACAAAGGGGCCGATGGCGTCCCCTTTGGCAAACACAAATACTATTGACAATAATTTCATGGACTTAGAACAATGAAAAAATCCTTTAAAATTCTCTTTTTAATGTAGTTGATGGAAACAATTTATTTGACGCCTATCTCCATAACACATTATAAATATATTTATAACGCGTTATAATCATGTTATAGCACTGTATGACTATAGTTATAAACACTCATTAATGATCATAATGCTTTATGGCAATGATTACAACACATTATAAAGCATTTTATCATGACTTACAAGGTCAGGCATTATAATGTGTTATAACTGTTAACAACTCACTGACAAAACCCACATAGATAATGCAATGCAACTGTTGTTCACAGCTACAACACATTATAATCCCTGACCTTGTAAGTCATAATAAAATACTTTAAAATGTGTTATGATTATTGCTGTAAAGCATTATGATCATTTATGTGTGTTTATAACCATAGTTATATAGTGCTATAACATGACTATAATGCATTATACATATATTTATAATAAGTTTTAGAGATAGGCCTCAAATAAAGTGTTACTTAGTTGACTTTCACTGGCTCTATCTAACTCTCCCCCGTGTACTGACTGTGAAGTTGCCGTTTAATTTTAAGTTAATCGCTTGTAGCTAACTTGCTCTCAGCCAGCCACTCTCCCTTGTACTTTTTCTTCCTTTTTTCAAGGATTTTCATTTCCCTTCATTTCAATTTACCCACATTCCTGAGACCTTAGACTAGCAGCTTATGTGATATCATGGAACATGAACACAGACTCTTAAAGGCCACTTTTTAATTACTGTGGTTCCTCAGAGGATGTCGGGCTGAATCCATGTGCTAATTAAATCAATGTGCAGGTGTTGAAAGCGCGATATGCCTCTCAGCTGCAGCGTATGGCTAAAGCTGGACCAATTATCTATAATGTACCTGCTTCTGGAAGCCTCCGTGGATAAACACTTGTGTGACATTTCAGCATTTATGACTGCTGAACCTCTGCTGAGTTGAAATCACACTTGGGTGGAGGATATGATGAAGATGACTTTGCTGTTTGATTCGTTAACTACGACCTCATCTGCGCTGCCTCTCATTGTTAAATAAATCATCGGAATATACAGCTGCTAATAAAATGCGCCATATAAAATTCATACTTGGGGAGGATTTCAACAGAATAAGCAGAATAAATAATTATTTGATTTCACAGAGGGGAAATATTGCCTTCTCTTCTGGAGGGCAGAAATGTAAACTTTCCGTTTCTTTGCTCCAATTTATGGCTCCATTCGTCATTAAACAATTACATAGGCAAAGAATTCAATTTCAACCCTCTCATTTCTTCTTTCACGACCGTGTTTCCCAGAAAGGGCAAAAACATAATTACAGAATGCAGCAACACGCTAACAAAGAAATATCGACTGTTGGCTTACAGGGGAATATTTAGTGTGAAATGTGAAGGGCTTTTTCTTGCTAATAATGTTTTCTCCTCCATTATTCCAGAGATGTTTTTCACAGCTGCCTTCCAGCACAAGAGAGGTTATATTTAAAGAGAGGGAAATAACTCTTTTTCCATCTCATAAATCTACCTTTGTTTGGTGAGCGCAGACGAAAGAAACTGTCTCTACTTGCAGATAAACAATGACGCAGTATGAACGAGTCAATGTGCGTGTGTGTGTGTGCGTGTGTCTGCTATATAAAACGTGCCAAAGAATCACAGCATTGTGTTGTCCCTCACCACAAGAACGCGTTTGATTTTATGTTAATGAATGCTCAACTGCGTGTAGAGGAGATGCACAGCAGCACATACACGTCTTCTTCTTTCGCAGCCAGACACAATTTTCGGACGTCAGGCTGGAACCGCAGTCGTCTCACATGGGAGCTCATTTGGCAGAGCAGCCCGTCACCGGGGAGCGAATGAAAGCTAAACCTAATGAAAGCACACACAGCCAAAACCTGCCGGCTAACATCTGCCCCAGACTGCGGCTACAACCAGCTCTTAAACCACACAGCCCCCGTTTACCATGCTCTCTCTTCCTCACTTGAGCTGCAGGTCTGCACGGCCTTTTATGTGTGGCAAAAGCCGTGTGGGCTGTAGGGCTTGGAAATGCATCAAAAAGGTGGTGTGTAATTTCAAAACTAGAGGGATCTCTTTGAAAAATTTGGATTCTTTCTTCTTCTTTTTTTATTATTCCCAGGAGTTGTTTTGCAGATGTGTATTTAAACAGACTGTAGACTGATAAACATAAGTTTTCTCATCCACGGCTGACAGTTTTTAATGAGACGCAGCTTATTTATTCACTCACTATCAGTGCTGATTTTGTTGCCTGGTGTGTTTGTGGATTTTTCTTTGCTGTGTTCTCAAACAGTCTGGAGAGATTTTCTGAAGTGCTACTGGAAGCCTCTCTGAAATTTTTACAAGACTAAAACCACTCCTCACGGGAATCCTGTGAGTCTGTTAGCAATTACACCCTGGAGATATCTCGTCCTTTGTTTAATTGTCACGGACACGGCTGAATTTCAAGAGTCACAAGATTGGAAGGACAACCAGGAAATTCTGAACAGACATTTACGTCTGATGCTATGGTCAGATTCTTACAAAATGTAGTAGACTAAGAGATTCAGCTTCTTTGTCAGCAAAGTTTCTCATGAAGCAGCCGAACAACTGTCAGGTTATTTTCAACATAACCTGGTTAAGACAATATTTAAAGCTCCTGTGAGGAACTTTTGGTTTGCATGAATTTTGGCACCCCCTTGTGGACAAAGCAGTCTTTCTTCATCTTGTCCTCTACATGCATTAGTTTTAATGTAAGTCTTAAGGTCCTTACACACTGGGTGCGTTTTTTTCGTGCGATTATTTCAGACGTCAATATATTTTTTCGAACCCGTATCCTGTCAATACAAGCGTTCACATCAGTGACGTTTTCCTGTCCAGCGATATTGTGGCATTTATTTTTTCTTATCATAGTCGAATTTTCTAAAGTTCCACATACTGTATGTCCACTTCTGACCAATCAGATTGCGTGTTGTTGCGATGTCAGATTCACTGGTATATCCAACATGGCCGACCAGGTGATTGTTTACGTGTTGGAGAACAGAGTGATTTTTGATAAAAGACACAAATATTACAAAGATAATGACCTGAAGGACAACTTGTGGAGAGTCATAGCGTCGGATTTCTCATATGACGATGGTTTGTGTGCTTTAACAGTTTGCTAAACGTCTTTGTTTTAACTTTCATCTGTGCTAAGTAACTTGAGCTCGTAAGCTAACCTGTTCAGATACAACATACCATATGTATTTTCACTGTCTCAAACTCAATTGTGTTGCTGTCACAGCACCATTAGGTCTCGGTTGTTACCTTACGTTGATGGATTATAGTTTAATGTGCTTATCTGGTACTGGCCCCGACTCAGTACATGCTATCATGACAGACAGTCATCTCAACACTAGAGTCTAATCAGAACTGAAAAACACTCAGTCTGCTGTTGTGTCAGTCTTATTACTTCCACCCGGGACGCGTCTTTTTATCCCCCGGAAAGTCGCAAAATCGCATCGGGCTTGATGTGTATAGTCTAGCGCGTCAAAACTTGCCTCCGAATATTTCGTAATTTCGCGTCGTAATTTTGCGTCGTATATTTGCGTCGTTCCCGGTGTCTAAGATCCTTTATCCTGCTGACTTTTGACGGTCAAATATGTCCTTCATTGTGATTGTTTTGTGTTTTTATTTCTTCTGCTCAGATGACACGTACCCTCCTCTCACACTGATTTCCGGGATTACAAATTAGGAATGAAAAAAAATCATCGATCTTGTCTCTGATGGTCATGTTTACTTTTGGGTATCATAGAAAGGCATCAGTATGAATTACAATCTATTTCATGAAAATAAAAACTCCTCACAGGAGCTTTAAGGATAACAAAGAAGTCTCAAAACTTGTTAATGATCTTGTCAGCTTTTGTGGGTCAAAGAGAGGCCTCACTGTTGATTTTATTATGTTTTATATCTATTCAAAAACTCCATACAAGTGCTTCAATATGATATTCCTAAATAGTTTTTGAACGTTTCACTTCTATTGCAAACTAATAAACAGATTTTAAAGACTTGAGTTGTCTCATTAAATTTAGCTTTGTTTATTGTAATTTTTCTGTATGTGCAACACTGGGCATCATGAGACAATTTAAAATAAAGTATATTTAAGATAGCTCTTAGTATGGTAAAACAAATTAAACTTGCAATTTTGTGGTCTTAGGCATTCTTTCATGATTTAGAGGCATCTGTACTGATTTGTGACTGTTGATTGTAATATTTTGAGCCAATTTTAAGACACCAAAGTGAAAAATGAATGTCACAACATGATAAAAATAACACTGCAGTTTGAAATCAGGGCTTTTCAAACATGTGCAACTTAAATCAACTAACAAACTCTTTGTTTTTATGATTAAACACCTACTTTTCATTAAATTATAGCCATTCTTTGTTTTTTTAGGGAGTTTGGTAAAGTTTCAATGTGTCAGACCTCATAAACATGTCGACTGTATTTAAATCCCTGCAGAGTACGTGATCTTTTTGATTTCTTTGAAATCATGAAAGTTATCTCTCAGTCTTTGAAATTTTTGTTTGTACAGCTTTGGCCAAAAAGCGTGATTTCAAATGGGAGCTGTATTAGTCATACAAGGATGAGAGACTCCCATCTGTTTAGTAAAATTATCCAGACTAATTAGTCTGAAAATAAGAGTGGTCAGATCAGTCAATTATGGTTAAGAGAGGGGCAAAGAGCTACAAAGCGTTTCGATGCAATCCAAAAGCATCCGCCCAACCAAAATGCTGTCAGAGCTTCCAAATAGGCCTCATAACATAAATCGATCACCCTGAAAACAACAGTTATTATGACCCAGAAAAAAACACATGTTTTCTGAGGGTGAATGCTTATTTTCTTGATGCGGAGCACCTATGCAGTGCTACCCCTACATATAATGTACCTGCTGAGAACTCAATGTACTAATGAACCTGGAGAGGATAAGTTTGTACTATAGGGGCCTTGTTTGTTCAGAACCAAAGAGTAGGTTATTGAGGTTCAGCCAGGAAACATTTTTCATGTTATTCGACTCCATATATGCTGCAGATGTGGACATGGCCGACCTACAAAGATAACCTTATTTCTTTTGTTTTTTTGGAGAAGCTGTAGCATTTGGTGCTCTGATTTCTGATGCAGCTCAGGGGACTGCAGGCTCAGAAACCAAAGACTCGCTGTGGCTCTTAATGAGACTGCACAAATGAGGGACAGCACAAGGGATACATGCTACGGGAAAAGAGAAAAGGAAAGAAAAGGCAGGGGGAAATTAAGCCAATGTAGGTTTCTGTGCACCATAGAAGAAGACTGTGGTGTTAACATCAGCACAAAATTATGAATTATCATCATGGCAGACTATTAGCAACTGTGTGTTTGTATAGAGGCCGTACCTCTTGATCAAAACCTGCTTATGAGTTATGAAAAAGTAGAACAGATACTCTACTGCATTATAAAGAAATATATCACATAGAAGTGCAGCACACTTCTGTATATATGGTGTTGTTTTTTGAGTAGTTTTTTAAGCTGCAGCCTGCAGGAAGTCTCCACAAACGTCAGAGAGTGCTGATGCCCTGTGAAAAAGGAAACAAGCAAATGCAGAAATGTCTCTCACTAAAAACCCCACAAAGAAATAAACTGCATCCCACAGTTTAAATTGGACTTTCAGAAAAGCTCAATGATCAAAACTTGATGCTAACTTCTGGTTGTTCTGTTTCAATTATACCTCCGTGTTTCGCACTGCCTCAAAGAAAGCCGTTTCTGCATGAGTAATCAAGTTTCACATTTGTACAAACTCCAAGTAATTCTGTCAATTTGAACAAAATCTCAGGACAAAATGTTTTTTATGAAGAGGAACACTGGGAAATATTCTGAAAGCCATAAAACAATACACGTGTATTCAAAACTCTCTGAAACGCAACAGAACACGGCTACGCAAGTCGGAAAATAGAAGTGGTGACTCATTACACAGCTGTTTTGATTCATGGTTACGCAAAAAGGGGATGGCTATTCTGAGGTGGGGTCTTCCTGTCTTATGATACATGGTACAAAAGTGCATGTTGGGTGACCTATGCACAATCATTAAACTTCTCAAATGATAACAGTTAGTTATGATGGTTTACTATAAGTAGACTTGTATTTTGTTAATGAGCTGTCATGTTGCACCAATTGGTGGATGAGTCACTTTGCATGGGAGTGTTTCTGTGTACACACACCTTAGTTCAAGAGCCAGTAAGGAAGACTCGTTTTTACAAATACATCTTCATTTATTTCACATACATTTTTTTTTACTTTTACTTTGAAGATTCCACGATCTAAATGATTTAACAACAAAATGAGGAACTACCACAACAAAGTCCAAATTTTCTACTGGGGAAAATTATGCAAATGTCACTGTAATAAAACTGACACATGTAACTTGCCAACCAGAAAAAGGTACAATTAAAGTAATCAAAAGAGACGAAAAGAGGACAAAAAGGTGGTTCATGAAGATTTTTTTCACCAATAACGGCTCACCTCTGTGATGATCCAAATGCCGTGTTAGATCCTGAACATTGTTGGAGGAATAGTTTTTGTAGATTCTCAACATTTTTTATAAATAAATCTTTTTTCTTTAATTCTCATGGATAAATAATATATATTTATTAATATCTAGGAGTCAATTTGGGGAGCAGGGACAGATAATTAACCATGAAAGCCCTTCCTGAATCCATGGAAACGTCAAAAGTCTGGAGAATGTTCTTGCTGAACATAAGGGGTATAACAATTTTGGCTAACGCATCCCATGAATATTGCTGTGAATAGTTCTTTTGAATGAATATGTACATACATGTACATAATGGAACATTAGGTACACATATGCAAAGTATTGAACATAGGAATTGATGAACTGTTTCATTGATTTGTTCTTGGAATAAGCATGGCGCAAGACTAAACAAAGTAGGTTAATAGCTTAGATACAAATTTGTACTGTACATGGTTCAGCTGAGTCTGTAGATTCAACCCAAAACCGAAGTGTTTTTTTGGGCATATAAATTTCAAAAAGCTGATAAATGACACCTATTCCCTTCAGATCCCAATAGCGGCAATAGTTTTCACTCCTTTTCCACACTGAAGGAGATGCCCGCTGGCATCCACGTAAGAGGACGTCCCATCAAGATTCCCAGTATTTGAGACAGTATTTATAGATTATGTCAACTTCCAGTGATTTTAGGTGCTGCTCTTCTTGTTAAGATGCCCCAACACTGCACTCCACTCCACTACTGCTCTCCCTGAAGAAACGGAAAGTTCAGTAGTCCTGTTTTCAAAAAAATACATTGTACTTTGGGCATTTTCACAATCCAGAATCTTGGGTTTAAAAAAGGAGTCACATCATTTTCATGTTAAAACGTCGGGGACCAGCCTGTCCCTCTGCTGAGTCAACATTAGTGCCGTTAGACTTTGACCGAGGCACATATTCAACATCTATGTTGTTTTTATGCTTCCCTTTTCCCCTGCTCCAAACGAACAGGAGCAGGAAACAAAACAAGACCACTCCCAGGAAAGTGAAACAACCCATCGCGGTCGACACTAAAATAGTCTTTAGGTCTAAACCGAGGGTCACTCCAGCTGTCCCATTGGCAGTGGTGTTACTGGGATCTGTGTAGTACTGGGTCCTGTTGGCGTACAGCGATCCAAGGCTTTTTACCGCCAACGAAGTCATCAGGGTGTCGTTCCCAGCAGTGTTGGAGGCAAGACAAAGGTAGACTCCACTGTCTTGTATCTCTGCAGACTTGATCTCCAGTGTGCCATTAATATGGACCGTGACTCGACCATGATTCCTACTGGTCAGGACCCGTCGACGTGGTGACAGCCAAGACACAGTAGGCCTCGGCGTCCCTTCTGCACTGCAACGCAACAATGCCTGCTGGCCTTCATCCACAGTGATGGTTTGTGTTTTATTCTCCCGAATTTTTGGCTTTGTACACGTGACATAATAAGACAGGAGGGTCTCCTTGAACTCCTTAAAAGGTCTGCCACGAATCCCTTCGGGTGTGTTGCACTCTGGCTGCGAATCCCCGAAAGAGATGGAGTGCCTTTTCTGTAGGATCCACATGAGCCGACAGTCGCACACTAGAGGGTTGTTGTCAATCAGAAGAACAACCAGAGCCTCAGGAGACTGAAACACACCCTTCTCCAGCGTATCCAGTCGATTGTGAGACACATTGAGGACTTTAAGTCCCCGCAGGCCCTGAAAGGCGTATGGTTCAATGGCGGTTAGCTGAGCTCCAACCAGATGGAGCTCTTGAAGCCGAACCAGTTCCATCAGCATACCGCCCTCAATGTGCCTGATGCGGTTGTAGGACAAGTTAAGGTGTGTCAGGTAGGGCAGATGCTTCAGGGCTTGGTAGGGGAAGGAGGACAAGTTAGTGTGGGTGATGAACAAGGTGGTCAGATTGAGGCCGTGCAGGGTGTTGGCCGGCACGTGGTCGAGCGAAGGCCAATTATCGATCTCTAAGTGCCGCAGGCGGAACAGTTTTTTGAATGAGTATGGGTGCAAAGTGCTGATGCTGAGGTATCGTAGATGGAGGCTGACCAGGTTGTGTAAGTGGGAAAGAGCTTCTGTGGGCACAACTGTAAGATTGCACCTCTCTAAGGTTAGTATCTCCAGGCTTAATAGTCCACTGAATGCACGGTGAGAAATGTAAACCAGATCATTGTCACCCACTTCCAGAAACCTGAGATTGTGCAGGTCCTGAAACATGTAATCCAGGAGGATGACGATCTTGTTGTCACTTATATCCAATCGGGTAAGATTCGTCAAGCCTGTGAAAACCCCCAGAGGAATGAGCTTGATTCGGTTGCTCTTCAGACTGAGCGAGTGCATGTTGAACAGGGCGTTAAAAGCTCCAGGCTCAACATAACTGACAATATTCCCACTGAGATCAAGTTCCTCGAGCCCAGGAAAGTTAATAAAGTCATCTGGGTTGATCATTGTCAGCTTGTTCTTACTCAGATCCAGAATCCTGGTCTCTGTTGGGATGCCGTCTGGGATGGTTGGCATGCGTTTGCGGTGACAGACAACTGCCTTGGTTTGCGCTGAACACTCGCAGCGGGAGGGACATCCCAGGGTAGAACCCACGAAGACAGCCACCAGGGCCAGTCCCAGGAATGGTTGCCAGCATGAGACAAACGTGTGCAGCATGACTTTGCTTATACAGTCGACCATTCTGTCACGGTTCTGAAAAAAACAGAAGAAAAGGAGAAAGAAAGTGAGTCACTCTTCTGGATCAAATTAGTTTAACTCACATGTAAAATGAATGATAGATTTTCCTGAACCCGCCTGTCATCCTCTTCTAATCCTGTCACTAATCAGAATACAGTAAAGTTTAACTGCAGGGCTCCACATTTTAGTAGGCCATCCCCTGCTGTTCAAACTTAATAAGTTTTTAGTTTCTCCCCTTTTCCACCATTAGTCTAGTGAGTATGTGTGCTGTCTTTGTTTTCCTCTTAACCAGGGGAAAAAGAAAAAAATCAAGCTCCAACAGTGCTGGTTAAAGACGGCTCCCTGATGAGCATTGGCACTTTTTTAAAAAAACGTATCCAAAATCAAATTAACTTTTTAATAAACAAAAACACTGCTTTTGAATCCTATTGTACTGCTTCAATTTTATTAATTTCAAAAACCGGTCGGAAAAGCTTAAAATGTCCCCTTAGAAACAAACACAGTCGAGCTGCAGAAACCGTTAAATTAATCATAAAGAGGAACGCTTGGCAATGGATGCGGTTTATAGACATGTGCCCGTTTAACAAGTAAAAACTGGTTTAAGGCGCCATTCAGGGTCAAGGGGGGAATTTGTATCCTAAATGAGGATCCGCTTTAAACAATGTGATAAAACTCACTAATTGCACCTCCCTGTGACAAAACTAATTCCACTACAAAGCATAGATAAACAACACCAGTGTGGGTTAAAACACACTCCAATTTAAAGAAATTGATTATTTAATCTTTATTTCCCTTCAAAATCTATTCCTTTTTACAGTTCCCCCTTTACATAACACTACATAACACTACATTAACACCTGCTGGCACATTAACATGTCTTAAAATCGCATGAAGATGAGCAGATACACCACCTGAATACAGCGCCTTCCACAAACAGACTGGGTGACAGGTTGCAAAGATTGCAAAACCCCGCTGCTTCATTTCATGTGTCATGGGCTGTGCTACATCTAAATAATAAGAGGAATGATCAGAGTTTCTCCTACAGCTTTATACTGTATTTTTTAACAGTCAATAGTGAAAAGAGGAACTTCTTGCGTAACTATCTGAAAAGAAACATTATGCAAAGCTGAAAAATGTATTCAAACACCAAAAGAGGGAAAAGCTCTCAAGGACCAACACTGCAGTTCAAAACCATCTGCACAAGTCCCAAGAATATTAATGTACACACAGCAGAGCTCTGACTGTGATCATACAGCACATTAACACATCTAAACAATATTGTATGTTTTCATGCAGAATTCATGCATGGCATAGATGGAGTACAAACAAAACATTGATGGGCAAAGGCAATGGCAGTTTAAGTAAATAGTGATACAGTGACTGTCTATGATTTTTCTATAGCTGAGTAATAATAAATTTAATAAGTGCTGACATTCCCTTTTTGTGTCTCTACTTCCCCTACTCTCAGTGTGCTATAAAGCTTTATTGCTATCGTTAGTACGCACCATATGGCTGTCTCTCCACTGCTGCTGACTTGAAAAACATTGCCAAATGTGCATTGGACTGTTAAAGTTTTCAACAGCTTTCTAATAGTGCATTTCAAATGGAAAGCTGAATTCTTACGACCTTCATTATAAGCAGTACCTTACCATATTACTCTCATCATTCCTGCTAATGGAGAATATCTCCCTTATTGCAGAGGTTATTGCTGTTTCTATTTTTGAGATCTAAAATATGCATGTGTTTGCTACCAGGGTGGGCTGCATTACATTTTGAAAGGGTGGATCCCTATTTAAATATTATTAAAATCTGTACAATATGATATTATTTTTCATCTTTAATTGGGGTTGTTTATCCTTCGACTAACTACTTTTGTTCATGGTAAATAGAACACACTAATTGAAATGTTGATTTCATAATTCATTAATTAATCTAGTATTCAGTTCCTAAATCAGCAAATTTAACGGTATATTTAAATCATGGATCTACATTAGGAATGTGCATGTTAAGTCAGCTAAATGATTAAATGCTGTTATCTTCACTAGTCAGCATCGGAGCTAATTACTTGTTAAAATTAATTGGTAATATTATATTATTATGGGCCCAAAATGCAAATTGTATGCTGCAGTGCACCACCTGCAACAAGTTCAAGACTGTAGCTTCAATATTGGCATCAAAGATGTAAACAAACACAAACAATTGGGATAGCATCTTTTAAGTGCAGCATGATTTGGCATTTTGATCCAGAAAAACAAGTTGTATGTAGGTTGTATCTGCCTAAAATGGCATTTCACTGTTTGAGAGGAGAGCTGCATAACCAGCACAAGCATGTGGACGTTACCTGTAAGGAGCACTGAGGGGTGGTGGTGCTAGCTCTGCTAATGGTAGACACACTCAGCAAATCAATTTCGCAATGATTTCCTGTAGACTATGTTAACTGTGTTTCAGCTATTTTGAATAGTTTTTACTAGTTACTTCTAGTCTAGTTTCTGTAAACTTCGGTACCTTCTCTGAACAAAGCAGTCTTTGCTAATCGTGTCCTCTATATGCTCAAGTCATTTGGCAGAGAGAATTCATCCTGATGACTTAAGACAGTCAAAAATATCATTCATTGTAGGTTTTTTTTGTAGAAATTAAAAAGCAGAACTGATTTTGTAGCTGCACAGCTGACACCTACCCCCTTGCACAGATGTGATACATTAAAAATTACAACATAAAAACGGTCAATCTTGTCACCAATGGTCTTGTTTGCTTCTATGTGTCCTTAAAAAGGCATCAGTATGAATTTAGGTCTGTTTCATAAATATTATAAAAAACCCTCACTGGAGCTTTAACTAGGAAATAAGTCACTCCTAGATCACATAACCAGGGACATGTAAGTGATTGACAGGCACACATTTCTATTCGGTAGATTTCTCATTTTCTGCACACACAAACACACACACACACACACACACACACACACACACACTGGTCACATATGTTTCTGCATCATACAAATTTCATGGCCTACTAAGATGGGGTCTAATCAGCATAATGATTGGATATCTTAGCACTAGTGTGTAATCAGAGGAACAGTGAGCCTGTGATGTGACCCTCTCACCTGAACACTCCTCAATGTGATTACTCTAACTCAAGTGCATCATCAGTATCACCTGCTCAAGTGTTTCCGGCTGCAAAGAATGAAGCTAAAGACCAGAGGTAAATCTCAGCAACCGTTCAATGGTAGATCATTGGCTGTGTGTGCCCTTCAGATGGATAAATACAAGACTGTAAATTGTGTGACCTTTTATGTTCAGTGGCTGTAGAAAAATCTGACAAATCGGGTCTATATAACTGTATTTTTTGGCCTTGAAGAAAAAAAGGATTTTAGCAGTGTATATCTGATAAATATGAATCACTGAAGGTAAACAGTGCGACATCAAGGTGGCAGCATTTGGCAGCAAATATAGTGTATCTACTAAACTCAATCCCAAATCCTGATGAGACAGTAACAATTGTGTAACGGCCCATTTCTTGCATTGCACTATAAAATGAAACTACACAGTAAAGGTGTTTCTATAATGTGGCCCCTGACCCACATTAGTGCAGGGTGGGATCCTGAGAGGCGTGGGATAACAGCTAATGGTATCTGACTCAGCAAAAACCAGTGAGCAGCTATTTCACAGGGGTGCTGAGGTCGTCTCCACATGACACCATCACCCCGAGCGTATGTACACAAGAGGCCTGATGTGAATCTCAAACTCACGTCAACACCCCAGACAATTAGATTAAGATTTACTCATCTGCTATGACAAATATACCGCAAACATATCTGCCTTAGCTCATTCTTAATATGCAAACACATTTCTATTCTCATCACAAACTCATTTCCATATGAATTGCTCAAAACATGCCGGGGCCGCTCCATCCCATGATGCCGCTGTTCACGTCTTGGCCCGGGGCAAACTAATAAGAGGATGAGTAGAAGTGACGTATGTTGATACCAGAGTGGCAAAAGGAAAAAAGAAAAACATCTCTGAATGTGCTGTTCATTATTATTCCACAAACATGGCATTAACAATTATAAGAAATGCTTCCCGTGCCAAAGAAAAGGCTTCTATTACTTTAATTAGGACCTTGATCGCATATGTATTCACTCTTTCTGCAATTATGTAAGTTACATTGGCCTTTAAGGAAATGTAGCTTTGTGAGGCTTTGACCCCTGACCCTTCGTCCTGATGAGTGAGTACACACGAGGATTTATCAGATAGAAATGCAGAGGGGAGAGGAGTGGAGCTACGACGCACAGATTACAATCACACTTGAGGCGAGTAGCTGAGGAGTTAAAGGGTCATTGCTGTATTTATGTTTCAGTATCTTTCTTTCACAGCCTCATGATGACATATTCTTCTACTTCCTATGAGTGCAGCTCACATTATCAAGTACTGTTTTGTGTCATTGTTAAATTGTTTTACTCTATGTCACTGTAGAGGGTTTTGCAGGTTGTTAGAGTTTCACTTTAGAGGGTTATTATCTTGAAATTAAAGCTCCTGTGAGGAGTTTTGAACCGGTTAATGAACAGACTGAAATTAAAACTGATGCTTTTTCATTACCCCCCTGGGGGCAAACAGAACAACAAGAAAATTAAGTACTTTTTAAAAGTCATCTTTAATGATGTTCGGCTTGGAGGGTAGGTGTCCAACCAAGTGATGACCTGCATGCTAAAGTCAATGAGTGGTAAATCTGAGAGTCACAAAGGGCAGGCTGAAATTTTTGTCAAGAAACACTGACTGCGTATGTGGAGACTAAGAAATTAGATAAAACCAACACAAACTAAAAGTTCATTACAAGAGCTTTAAAGAGAGGTTCTTAGAATTTGAGTTGGACAGTTATCAGGACTTTATTTTATCTTTAAACTTGGAACAGACAATATGTAATCAAGAATTAGAATAGGAAATAAAACTGCAAAATAATCAGTCCAGTTTCCAGTCCAATCCCCCTTCTCCACAAAGTCAACAAAA